CAGCTGTATGGGCCAAAGCCTCCTATCTTGTCTCCTGAAGGGACAGTTTGCAGAGGATGTGCGCAGATGTGCTCGGTGCTCTTGTCTCATAGGCGTAAGAACAGGCAGGCTTAGGCCTGGGCTGAAACCTGGGAATGGGGATTCCTCTCATTCTGCTGCCTCACACACATTGCTTGCTGTGTTCCCATCTGGCACCTAGCCTTTGCAGGGAGGGGGAAGTCCTAATGCATTGTTGGGGGCAAAGGAGGCTGCAGGGATGTGCATGGAGTAGCTCGATTCTTACTTTTTAAAGTTTGTTGAAAGAACAAATGCAATAACCAAAAAAGCAAAACCCCCCCCCCCCCCCCCCCCGGAAACGCCTTAACTGGATGCCCACCTTTGCGCTTTTAACAGTCTGCTTTGGATTTCAGGGGTGAATTTCCTGGGCAAGGCAAAAGTTGGGGGGCAGGCAGGATGAGACTTTCTTCCCCACTAGCACCACCTGGATCAGGATGTAATGCTGAGCATATGATGGAGGAAGGTAGGATGCAGCTGTACTTGATGCAGCATCAGTCTGCATTATGTTCAGTGGCAAATTTAGCAGAGAGGTTGAGGGCTGCATGAACTTTGCAAATTCAACAAAAAGCTCTTGAGCATCAAAATTGGCTGAGAGAGACTGGCAGGTAGGTCATCTTGTTTCTGAATAAAAAGCAAGCTCTGATCACAAAGCTGCAGCCTTTCACCATGGTTCATGAATGTGTTAATGGGCATTTCTGATTCTGTGTAAGCTAATTTACTAATTGTGTCAAGCTGGGTGAGAATTTGCCCGTAGCAGGAATTTGGAGCCCCAACTGCTGGCTTTTGAAAGTTCATTGTCTCTAATCTGAAGAAGAGCTTGAAAGGCCAGCTCTTTCCATTCAGCTAATTTATTGACATTAAGTACAATGTACCTCTCCAATTTGTTGTTGTACTGCAGTAACTGAAATGAAACAAAGTGAGCGCAGACTTGGACATCTCTGTTTATACATTACACTTGTATAGTGTTTTATAAAATTCCATAATCTTAATTTTAAATAAGTTCAAAAATATCAGTTTACCAGATGAAGAAATCACCATAACTGGTATAAATCTGGAAAACTTATGTACATCTTTTCTTAAGAGGAAAGCACACTAATCATGTAAGATGGTACAAAGAAGAAAATCTCTACTAAACAGTTGGGGGAAAAAGAAAAGATTTTGCAAAATAAAGGCCACCTGAAGTTTAGTCTTGTCGTAAACACTCAAGTGTCAGGGCAATCTAGCTCCTAAGCTAGACCATTCCTCAGAAAATACCTTTCATCCTCACACACCTGTAAATTAAGATATGTAAGCACCTACTACTGTTTAACATAAAACGACTGAAACGTTTTGCATTCATTAGGGAGTCAACTGATAGCTTGAAAGGAAACGTGCTTTTTAGGCACAAAGTATCCTCAATTGTTCAGCTCTATCTCCACGGTAAGATAATGATGTGCTTTCTGCTTGTACAGGCATGGCCCTCCTGGCTGTGTTCTGGTTAGCACACATCCTGACCACCAGGTGGAGGGGCAGTGGGCTACCCCGGGTGAGGAATGGGCACAGTCAAGAGTTGGGCTTGTTTTCTGCTCTTTGGCAGGCTGTGCAGGCTATTTTAGAAGATGTGCCTGGGGCTACAGCGGATATTTGCTGATGTGGCTGATGAGGTCTTCCACTTGCAATCTTGGCCCATCTTCCTTCCTTAAGTGAGTGGTTCTCTGTGAATGTGGTCACTGATGGATTTGCAGCTTTTGATAAGATTTGTAGATGTGTTGCTAATTGCAGGCTCCAACTGATGCTTTTCTCACAGGTGGGGCATTCAGAGCAGCCCTTTCCTGTGGGAATGCTCTTATGTTTCTTGTAGGTGACACCCTTTGTCTTCCCCATGGTCCAGGTGCCACCAGAGTCATTCTCCAAGCAGCTGCCTGCTGTCATCAGTTACACATCTGGGGGTGCCTTGGCATGGAAGGGTTCCTAATGGGACCAGGGGAGCTTACTTGTGCAGAGCCTTGCTCAGGAGGTTGGGTTTTCTTAGCATATATTAAAATATAAAGTATTTATCTCCTCTGGTTATGGGACACTTTGCTACCCCTCTGTCGCATTTGGCTGAAATTGTCCGGGAGGTTCAGCAGTTGTGGAAAAAGAAAGGGAATGTGTGTGCACACATAAGTCTCATTTCTTAAAAGAGAAACCCTCCCTCCCATCCAAAGGACCTTAATAGAGAAGTTTTCTTAAAGTGAGCACAGTTGTTTTGGCTGACTGCTTTGGATATTATCTTTGAAATGATTGACTATGTTAAATCATGATAATTAGGTCTGACCATTAACCTCCCACAGAGCTGATTACAGGGATGGGGGTGATGAGGAAGTTTTTTATTTTTCTTAGTGCTATTGTTTCAGTCTGTTTGCAGAGTAAACACGAGTGTGTCGGTTGATTATGCTGCAGGCCATCTCTCAAGGCAGAGGAGACGGCTATTTAGTTTTTTAGAGGTGAAAACCTGGGTTTTAGAGAAAATGTGCTCTGGGAAGGTGTTGGGGAGGCTCTAGGTCTATGCACCTGTGCCTTTCCAGCCATCCCAACTGTTTACTTACTGAGTGGCTGTTCCTAGAGCATTTATCCTGTTTACTTTAGCTTCTCCCCTATACAATCGTATGTAACACCTCCGACGGGCAGCACTCTCTTCATTGCTTTCAGATTGTCTTGACTAAGTTAGAGCAGCACAGATTGACTCCTCCCCTCCAGCATTTCTGCAGACAAGCACAGCCCAACTCTTACAAGGTGTGTTTTTAAAGGGCAGCTCACCGTCTGCCTGTAGTGCTCATAAATCAGTTATGACTATCGCACGGCTGTGAGCACTCCGAGTAACAAAAGGCAGTTATTGATTGTAAGGGAAGATTGCTACAGGAAGGAGAGCGAGCGGTATTCTGTGTGTTGCAATGGGCAGCTGCCCATGCGGTGAAACAGCCTGGGTTTAGCTGAAGGGGAGCTTTGTTGAGGAAAGGAGAATCCTTGCCTGGAATAATTGCCTCTGAGCCAGGGAGAATTGGCTACTCCAGAGTGGGAACAGGCCCTCAGCTACCTCTGGCACAAACAGCGGGGCTGTTGCAAATCTGATTTGAGTCGTTAACAATAAGGCATTGAAAAGGCAAGCAGACCTAGCAGTTCTCTCTCTCTCTTTCTTTGGGCTCCTAATTTATGCTTCAGCTTCACTTGCTGAAGCAAACCTGTAACAACACAAATGTATCTGTGGAAACAAGAAGGACAAAAATCTTTAGAAGAGACAGCAAAAGACCAGGCAGAAAGGCCCTTGGAAAAGAAAGGAAGCTTCTAAAAATCCAGATATTTTAGATGAAAGGAAAATATAATCTAAACTGTAATTGTTGGCTGTATTCTGTGATTTGAAGCTATGAAATGCTCTCTTCCCCCACAGAGCTCATAAAACAGTGCTTTGTGTACCAGATGGATTGTTTTGTTTTTCATTAAATAAAGAAACTTGTAAACAGTGCTCTGTACCACAGCGATGATAATCTCCACCATCCCCCTCTTCTTCCTTAAACACCTGAGCACGCACTTTGCGGGTAACCTGCGCTCAGGCTGCAGCGGAGCCCTGGGCGAAGCCCCAGCTTGCCGGTCACTGCGGCTTGGGGGCCAGGCAAGACATGCTCCCGGCACCCGAGAGCATTTACCGTGTGGGTTCAGTTGTGCTTTTATCAAATCGTATTTCTGAAATCAAATAGAAGGCTCAGTTGCACAGTGTTTGAATGCCGCTCTCTGTGCAGTAGCGGCAGTTGGTTGGATTAGGTCTGTGGAGCTGGCACTGCCACAGGTATGGGAGAGCAAAAAGAGGAGGCTGAATAATGAACAGTTTTTATGTAGAAGATGGCAAGAAATGTTTTATGAAGGTCACTAGGAATAACTGCTGGTTTCGCTAGTTAAGTCTATATTTGGTTATTCTGCCATCTTTGCAGCTTTCAAATGTGTAAGGTGTAATGTGTTAAAAGTTTCATCATGATCCTTGTAACTTGAGCCACAATTCTTGACAGTGCTCTTGCAACATGGGCTAAGCAGCACACCCCTCACTCCACTATTTCCCTGCCTAATCTGTTTGCCTACTATCTTGTGTAATAGGAATGCAACTTTAAAAATTTTTTTTTTTGCATAGCTCTTTTATCCATAAGTTTATTGAACATTTACAAAGGCAGTGTAAATTTCAGCCATAGCTGCAGTGCAACAGCTTCTCTCGCGATGTACACAGGCAGTAGTCAGTTTGTACCACTTTCAGGCTGGTGGAAACTGCTCTGCTGCAAATCCCACTTACTAATGGTCTTGTGTGTATTGCCATGGGTCTGTAACTAGATGTGGTGAGTGATAAACTGTGAATTGAGACCAAATATGTTGACTACTCCATCCACTGGACCCATTGCTCAAGTCCTATTACAGAAAACCTCTCTGAAATCACAGACAAATTGCATTCCAAAAGCAGAGAATAGCTCAATTATAAGGTGTACCCAGTTATTAAATACCAAACTATACTCTGTTTAGGTGAACACTAGATTAGTATTAGATACTTTTTCTTTTTTTTCCATTCATACCTTCTTATTATAACTGATTTCAGTTAAATGTATTTTTTCCTAATCAAGTGTACATCTAGCAAAAATACTGGGGCAAAATGTTCTTATGCTGTTACTTCCTTTTTTTCCAAATAGTTTTAAAATATTTTGATAACACTATCTGTATATTAGTAAAAATACATTTGAATTATTATCACAAGGTCTGCACACATTTAATTTTTTTTAAATACTGAAGATACCTAATACTGATGAATATTTATGTCACCAAGTTTAATGCAGAGATGCTTGCTTGATGTAGTCATATCAGTTTCATTGAGCTATGTGATGTTCTTTAACATGCCTTGTGAATAAAATAATCCTTTCTGGATCACCATTTTATTCTTCCTGTCTATGCAGTAACAAGCGACTTGTGGCCTTAGTGCCAAATGACACTTCATTCAACACCAGACGAGCCTACACCAGCGAAGATGAAGCCTGGAAGTCGTATTTGGAGAATCCCCTAACAGCAGCTACCAAGGCTATGATGAGCATAAATGGTGATGAGGACAGTGCTGCTGCTCTTGGCCTATTGTATGACTATTATAAAGTAGGTAACTCCATTGTTATTCATCCCTGCTGCACTAGCAGGGGACCACTCTAAGAGGCATCAAAAGAGCCAGTTTTCAAAGACAGAAGTCCCAGCATCTTGTTTTCTCTCTGATACTTGCATCAAGCACCCTTTCCGTTTTACAAAGCCTGTCTGAGGCTGTTGTGATGTGTTTAGTTCTGGAGATAAAAAACAAAATCAGAATTCCCGTATTAAATCTGCCACTATGATTTTTTTTTTTTGAGCATAGCATTCTTCCTCTTCCCTTGCCAAGAGCATTGGATGAATTAGCCCCCTTTTTATTTGTGCTCGGATACTTGCAGTATTCTTTAAAAAGTGGAAAAGGGGAGGCCTTGTCCATCTGTAGGTTTGTCTGCTTTTCTGGTTCATTCCATACATGTTTTAGTTTGCTCTTTAACTGAAGTATCTCTCATCTGACAGTTTCCCATGTTATTTTTATTTGTATAATGATTGCAGTAGGCTGTATACAAACATATAGTGAGGTCTAGCCCTTGCACTGGAAGTTTGCAGTCTAAATAGAAGGGTGGAGGACAGAAATGGAGCTGGGCACAGAGACAGAGATCTAAGTCAATTTGCAGGGGAAGCACTCGCACACAGTTTCAGTTTATGTCAGGTTCTAAGCCCAGAGCTTTACCTACCATTTTGATACCACCTTTCTTTTTTGTATATTTCATAGTGTTTAAGTAGAGCTATGTTTGAGACTTCTGCTGGAATCAGAGGAGAGTCCTACAGGGTGCATCACTGTGTAATGCAGAAATTTCACCCCAAAACCCAGGCTGACCCCTTTGTACTCTGCAAATGGAAGCAATGTTGCCTATGAAGCACTAAAGTATGAAATTGTTCATTTAATTTAAAACTGTCTCGGTACTCCTGAAGCCACCTATGCCTGCATTGGACAGATGATCTTCTGTGAAAGCCAGCAGAAAAATGCCAGCTCCCCTTGTAATTCATGATGAAGTAGCAGGAATGTAAATTTAAAATTAAAACCCTTTGCTTTTAGTATTTATTAGTATAATTGCTTTTAGAAAATGGGCTTTTCTTTTTAGTCTCTGCTACGGTCATTAAATGAGTGTTCAGGAGAAGGGGTTGTAGGCAAGATGGTTAAATATTACGGTTAAATATTGTTTTAATTTCTTTACTGATTATATTTCAAAAGATGTTCCTTGCTTTTGTGTGTTATTGTTAGTAGAGAAAAGCTTTTCCCACTGAGAAAGAAGAAAGGTCCTTTTCTCTACTTGTCAGAGCTACCACAGTGCCAGACTCTGTGAAGTTAATGTAGATTTGTAAAATTCAGGATGTGTATGAACATCTGGAGTGTTGGCTTCTGTCTTAGTAATACCTTTGTATGTAGCAGGTCATTAATCTGCTGGATTTTTTAAATAAAACTGGAGAACAACTCTTTTCCTTCTGAAAATGATGTTCTGAGAGACATGTCTGTTCCTTGTTCCAGGCAGTTGCAAAAGACTTGGGGTTCAGGTGGAATAAGCCATGTTGCTCTCAAAGCCATTTCCAGCATTCAGTCATAACTATTTCTGTCTTAAACTAGGAGAAGAGGATAACTCTTGTTGATGCTCTCAAACAGGAACTTAAAACCAAACTTAAACCTCTATGCTGTAATGTGGAAAAGTAGAGGAGGACTTCAGTCCACCATACTCTCTTGAATTGCCCTTATTTATCATCTGGCTTATTTATTCTGACATGCTGGGTTATATTCTTGAAATACTTTTTCCAGTCAATAGGAATTATTTGAACTTAACTGTTTGGGTTTTTTCTTTTTCTTCTCCTTTTTCTTCTAGTGATATTTACCTAAACATAGACCCTCCTTCAGGGATAAAGATATGATCTTAACAGGGGAATCAACATGTGCAAACTGTGGCTTAGATCCCACTTCTAAAATATATGAAAGAGTATTTTTAACCAGCAGGATGCTTAATAGGGAGGGAGGATGTCCGTAAGAGAAGGAAAGGCTCTGGCTAGCACTCTCTGACTGTGCTGCTGTCTTGCAGATACAGCAGATATTAACCTTGGCTACTGTAGTGCACCGTAGTATTTTTCCTCTAAATTCAGATATTTTCCTGATATTTCTTTAAAGTATTTAAAGATAAAATGCATAGCTTTAGCCCATTCTTAGGTCTATTCTTGCTCTTTAACCCTGAGTTAACTGCTGTGACGGAGTGGATATACCTTCTTTTGGAAAAGATAGATTAGAAGTTTTAGCTCCCAAATTGCTGGTTCAGCAAGAAAAGGAAAAAAAAAAAATGGTCATGGCAGCAACTTTGCCCTTGGTGATATCGTATCTATGCTGGTGTCAGGAAACCGGTATGTGGGAAGACAGATCTTTTAAGTCACTTGCTGTCAATTCTGAGTCTGTCAAGGGGCCAGATTTGACTGGATTTTTACTTCTCATGGCTGTTGATGCACTCAGCAAAGCAGAAGTCAGTGTTCTCTGATGACATGCCAGCGTGCCCTGACCTGTCCCCATGCTAGGAACGGGAAGGATCCATAAACTTGCCCTAGGTATGAGTCCTGCACCCTCTAGACTGCTCTATAACAGGAGGACTTAGCTGGTGCTTGTGGTTTCATTGAAAACCCTTTTTCATCTGAGCTGAAAGGTTCTCCATGCAGAGCTCATCAAAGCATTGTGTCTTCCTTCTCATCTTTTATTATTCAGTGAAAAGTGTGTGTGTGTGTGTGTTTGGGAATATAGCTTTGATTTTGAGATAGCTTGGCCTAGCGTGATATTCCAAAGATAAGGACACGTAGAAGAGTGCTTTGCTCCAGACTGGTGTGCCCAAGAACTAGAAAAGAAAACAATCCCTACATTTTTTCTCTTTGGAAATTATCTTTTGGTTCACAATCAGTCTCCCAAAGAAAAACAGGTCCTGGCATCTGTGAACTAGACAACACTGATATGGTTACATTTTTCTAGTTGTTGCAGTAGGGCAGTCTGAAGCTGCAAATACCTGACAGTTGCATTTACCTGACCCCATGCCTGGTGTTGTTCTCAGGTTCCCAGAGATAAAAGGCTGTTGTCTGTTAACAAAGTGAGCGATAATCAAGAAGACCAAGATAAAAGGTACAGTATTATTCAAAATCATACACCCAGCTACTAACAGTGTTGATCAGTTGTGAACTGAAGGAACTGTGATAGCCTGAGGGTTTATGGTTTTCTTCAAAAAGATAAAAGAATGAAGACTGTTTGGGGAAGCAAACTTTACTCCTTTTTACTTTTAATTTATTAGAAAAAATTGAACAGTATTATTAAACATGCAGTTTGCAAAGTAGCAGAAAGTTTCATGATTTGTTTGTGTTTTGTTTGGTTGTTTTTGCTGCTGCTGAGATTAGTAAAATCAGATTATATTGACAGTTGGCTATTCGCTGCTTTTCTTTCAATTTTCTTCTAGAGCAAAAAGTGAGTAGTTTGGCCTCAGTAGCCTGATTTATACAGTTTTATTTAACATTACTTAGGGTCTGCCCAGAAGCAAATAAAGTAACTCTTAAAAGCATTCGCTCAAAATGTTTTTCTCACTCCTCAGATTTCAGCCTTCCTCTGTAGGCTAAAAGTGACTTGAAGAGTCAGAGGAAGCCGACTCCTGCCTTTATTAAGACTTGTGGACAAGAGAGTATATATTTATGTAGAAAGAACTAAGTTTTTTACATATAGGAAGCTATATTCATGTGAAATGACAGTGGAGAGAAGCTACGCAAGGTATTTTTCAATGTAACTAATTTGGAACAGCCTTAGATGGTCTCCACTAGCTATGTAAGGTGAAAGTTTAAATAGATAGTAGTATAAATTCACTGTTTCAAAACAGAATATGAAACTTTTTTTGAGGGACAGTTTTTCTTTTGCAAATGCAACAGAAATTCTTAAGTTGAGTGTGATTGACAAAACTGGCCTTCGGTAGAAAGCCAAGAGAGAAACTGTAGTGTCACAACATATCTCCTGGGTTGAAAACAAAGCAGTGTGTTACACCTACTAAAAGTTTTATGAGTTAACAATTTTATGTCAGTGCAACTACTATCAGCAATCAGATTGCTTTCAAGAGCAACCATGAGTAGACATGGGAATGCTGCTGGAGGTTACTTTGCAGCCACTATAGTTACTGATCTACTCTGATACAATGGGATTCCTGGGCTTGCTCTTTCAGAAGAGCATTGGTACCAGAGTTATACAAACAGTAGTGGCCTGTCAACAGCCTGAAAGAGCAGGCATCAGCGTATGAATTTTGCTGTTGATATTCTGCCTATTTCATATGCAAATTATCTACTGTGAGTAATCCATACCTTGCCTTACTCTTTATGCTTATTTTGTGCCTGAAGGTGGTTGTACTGGTGGATTGATTTTGCATCCAAATTATAAGCCAAGGCAAAAGCAACCCCGGATACCTAGAATTTATTGTAACAAGTCATACCGGTTATAGGTCAAATCGAATGTATTATGCTTCCCTGGGTGTCAAAGAGCTCTGGACCTCTCTGCTTGCCTCAGAATGTCTTGCCTAGTATTTGTTAATGTACTACTTCTTACGGCAATGGCCTATCAGAGTTGAAAGATCTCCTTTCCTGGCATCTAAGAATATTAAGCTATTTAAGGAGAAGATTTACTCTTATCAAGACAGTTCATAACATATTTGGTTTTGTCTCACAGAAATTGTCTTAATGCCACGGAAGCTCAGAGTAATTTAAGTGGGGGAGAGAACCGTGTGCAAGTCCTGAAGACAGTGCCAGTTAACCTTTCCTTGAACCAAGATCCTCTGGAGTCGTCCAAAAGGGAATACAACACAAACGTTTCTGGGAGCTCGACACCCATCACGGGGACTGGAGTGACTGTGGTTAAAGCAGAGGAGTTCACCCCTGTTTTTATGACCCCACAAGCACACTATGCAAGAGGAGAGAATGAGGAGCACCGAGGGGTTATCTTTGAACCGTACGAAGTGTCCAGCATTGCTCCCCACACAAATTATCTGAAAGATGACCAGCGCAGTACTCCTGACAGTACGTACAGCGACACCTTCAAAGATGGAGGAACAGAAGTAAGTTTTTCACCTCACATTAGCATCCAAGAACTCAATAAAAAGCTATAAACAAGATAAAGAGATTTGAGCTGGTAAACAAGATAAGGAGATTTGAGCTGTCCACAAGAGCCATTAGAACAGTGATGCTTGTTTCAACAAATTAATCTCTGCTCCTTGCAGTGTTCCTGTCAGTCTGTGCTCTGATTACAGGGGAGCATCATGAGGCATTTCAGAAGACAGTTTTGAAGTTGTTTATTGGAAACTCTGGGAATAATAGATACTGACCTTTTGTCTTCTGGGATATTGTGTCAAGTAGAGGATAGCTGCCGTTTTGAAGGATTTGTTTTCTGTGAGCAAGATCTACCTTCAGACCTATTCATAACAGTAAGAAATAGCAGCCACTTTGTAACTGGGAAATTCTTAATGTCTTCTGAAAGTGCAAATGAGCAGTGGCAGCCTCTGCTGCTAGGTGAACCCAAGTATTTTATTCAGAAGCTGTCTGTTGCACTAAGCTTTACTCTGCAATATGGGCAAGTGAGAAAAAGTAGTGGAATTAGGTGACTAGAGGGAAATGGAAAAGTTAACAGGCAGGGAAAGACGAGGGTGCATGTCTATGTAGGAGAATGAGGAGGAGAAGAGAGACAAGGAGCTACCTTGTAACCATTTTACAGTTACGCTGAGGCAAAGTAATTATACAGTCAGCTTTAATATGGTGAGTACCTTCTGGCTGCTTTTGCCTGCTGCAGAGTAATACAAACAAGCCAGAAATGTAGAACGGTAAAAATTATTTAAAGCTGACAGTACCTCTGCAAATAATTAGAGATATTAGGTGGTAAAACTCTCCTTGGATTTTTCTCCTCCAACTCTTTGAAATTGTAAATGTAACAAAAGTACAAGGCAAGCTATGTTAAGGCTGAATCACTCTGACTGAATATATAAGAAATTTACTGTGTGTTTGTGTATGAGTAGTATAAAAAAGTAAATTGTCTCCACGCAAGCATCATATATCAGGACGCCTGGAGGTGAAATCCATTTTCAGCTACAGAACGCATGTAGATCAACTAAATGAATAACTAATGAAGAAATCTAGCTTGCCATTGAAAAATCAGTAAAATCAAACCTTGGGTTAGAAACACTGCTCTGCATTATCAAATCACATTTCAGCTATTTTTCACTGTTACCGGTAAATGGCTTTTTATGGGAGTCCAGTGGTACCATACCCATGGCTTTCCCTGGGGTGCTGTAGCTGAGTGATTCCATTACGCTGGTTTGTTCTGGGACGCGCTGTTGAGAGCTCCCCAGTCAGTCAGTCAGTCTGCTCTGTGCAGAGTGCTGTTCAATGTGCAAAGTTGTTTAACTTGGAGGTAGAAAGGGATTTTACGTCGATATGGTGGCCTTGCATCCCAAACTCCATGTTACAGTAATTTTGTTACAATGGTAATACTTTGTTACATGTTTTTAAAATGATTGGTTAATAACAGGGTATGATACTTGTCATTTAGGCTTTCTCTGCAGTCTGTGGAGAAAGAGGCAGGTCAAATCCAATTGCCAAAAGTGAGTGGAATGGTTTGCCAGGTGCGCTCATTCCTCTCCATCTTCACCTCCCCTAGTAACTGTATAGGGAGACTGAACAACTGTAACTAGGTCCCTGTCTGTGACCTGGGTGAAGTGTGTGTGCGCCACCATTAGTGGCCTTCCCGCCCCAAACGCTCACGTGCGTGTGGCACGGGAGCAGGAGGAGCTTCCCGACCCTGCTGCAGCCTCACTCAACACTTAGCCTGTCCCTTTGTTTTTTCTCCACTGCCCAAATCCCAGGGTGTGCTTCGCCCCTGTGGCACTCTGACTGCTTCTCCAGCCACGTGCTGTCGCGTAGGGACAGCTGTGTGAAGCAGGTGTGAGGAGAACATAAGGTAAAATGTCAAAACATACCAAACGAGGAGCTGGTGCTAAATTAGTGTTTGAAGTAGGGATACAGTTGTTCTTACTAGTTTTCCTGTTCAGTTGGTGAGAATGGCTGGGTTTGGCTGCAGTAGATTTGCTCTGATACCTGCTCAATTTTTAAACACATTATGAATATGTATTTAGAAATTGTTTCAGAATGTTTCTTGAGTGACGTAGTTCTGTTATACTGAAGGAGTGCTGAGTTTTTATAGATCCTTGTGGTAATAGACACTTCAGTCAATCACTTGCTATGTTCTTTGGATACAATCTTAACAATTATATAAATATACCTTTCTCATCTTTCATATTCTCATTTAGCTGTGATTAATTTATTAGTCCTTTATAGTATTGACAAAATTTTCAAGGATAGGTAAGAAAATTAAATGTTTTTGACAATTTCAACCTCTAGCCTTTATATAAAATGTGCCTTGCATGTCAATATGAGACCATCTTTATTGTAATACCCCTCAGATGTTAGATTTCTTAGATATTTAGCTTATCTATTCTACTGCTTGTGGATCCTTGACTTTTGATCTTCAGGAAATATTCCTAACCAGTAGGTAATACCTTTGCACTTAACTGGATATTTGTAGTGGCACAATTGTGCATAAAGTAAAATTAAAAACTGTTTTCAAAATTGCCCGAATTGACACTTCTGGAAACAAAACATCTTTTAATTGCTAACTGGTGATCACAAAAGAAATCCTGGAGATTAAATGTAATGATGCATCAGTCAATCAAAGAGACATCAGCAAAAACATGTTTCAGGCAAAAGGCAAGCCAAGAAGAAGCAGCAAGGCTTACATAGTAGAGTATGAATGGGTTTGTTTGCTCAGAGAGACAGAGTACAAATCCTTGCTTAGTCTGTGCGAAAAGATTTCATTTTTTCAGAATTCTACCTCTTGATGTAATTTTTTAATAGATGAGTTTTCATTTTTTAAAGAGTCACTGTAGGTCTCCTTTCGTCTGGTAAAGTGTGTGTTTTGCTCAAACAGAATCTTGCATTGAAGGTAAAATACTTTCTTAGTCTGTGTCACCGCTCTTGTTCAAAATAAGCAGTACAACAATGTAATTTTTTGTCAGCATTTCATTGTAGGCCTTAAGGACAGCTGACCACACATATTTTTAAGTAAAGCAAAACAAAACAAAAAGTGAGGGGTCCTTAAATAAACATAATTCTACTTCTGTTGGCATTTGCATTTTGATTGTATCAAACTATATTTAATTGTTGTTTTTATTTTTCAGAAGTATCGCAGTGTGTCAGTGGGGGCTGAAGAATATATTTATGAACAAACAAGGTATGGCATAAGCTTTGAAATGTGTTGACTGGCATCACGTAGGAATGTATGGAGGAGAGGCTGCCTGTTTCCACTTCCCACCCTCTCTTTCATCACCCTGGGGCACCTACAGGGCTCCCTTGATGCTTCCCAGCATCACTCTCCCCTTCGTCTCCTGCGCATGTTAGCTTTCATATCTGACCAGTTTATATCTTCATCTGTTATCTTCCTTCAGCATTGTTTTAAGTTAGTAACTCCTCTGAAGCCCCCCCAGAGATATGCGAGATTAAAACTGTTAAGAGAGGTCCCCCAGGTAGCAGGGCACAGCTTTGACAGCCAGGTCATGGAAAAATCTCCACCTTTCAGGATGGCAGGGTACACAAGTCAGATGTCCAGGATGGTTGAACTGGCTCCACCAACCTTATGGAATTCCCATCTTCATTTTTGCCTTCTGTTTTCTAGTTGCTCCTGGCATGTTTTCTGGGAAACCCTCTGTCTTTTTACACTGCTTGTTGTGGTACTTCATGTTTACCTATAAAATAATACAAAGTATCTATTACAAACCATGTAAAAACCCCTAAGAATCTCAAAAAGTTGTTTAGAATGTTTCAAAAATTGAAGTTTGAAATTAACAGTGTCGTCCCTAAGCACAGAAAAATGCATGCGTAGAATGGGCAAACACTGCAGAGTCACTTCAACTAATAAGGACTATGATCAGTTAAGTTTATAAGCTGATGCTTCATTTCGTGCTTGTGAATAGCTCTGTTTGTATCTGAGAGATTGCTCTCACTTTGGAAATAGGAACATGCCTACATATCGTATTTTTCCTGGAGTAGGCATATGACTGCTTCTGTAGTGCAGGTTCCTTATGGCTTGATCTTTTTTCTGAGGAATATTAAAATAATCATTAACTGCAGTGAGCTCCAAAGTGAGTCATTATATAGGCAGTATATATGAAACAGATATTTAGCAAAGACTGCTCACTTGCTACTCCGGATATTTATAAAATTGAATCCTGAAGCATCAGTATTGTTAAGAATTCTCAAACATTCTTTCATACTGTGGCCCAGGTCCATGTTAGAACAAAACCTTCAAATGCGCACTAAGAAAAATTAAATACATCTTTCCTGGGCGTTACCTGGAAGTGATAGGTGCTCAGAAATGAGAACTTCAGATTGAAAAAAAGAAGCGGTGAATATGAAAGTAATTTGAAGCCTGATAGAAGATCCCTTAATGACTACACAGGGCTTTAGTTAAGACTCCTGGTGAGATTCAGAATAGTATAATCATTTGAGTGACTGCAATAAGTTTTAAGGGTAATAGTAATCCTCCTGCTATAGGGCACACTTTGATTGCCAGCTGGGATCAAGAAGAAAATTCCCAGGTGGTACCACACAGAGACTGCAAAATTGGCCAGGTGCAGTGTGTCTGGGATTTACATTTTTTGATGTCTTTCTGAAACATACAAAATTTGGAAACAGAAGACCAGACCGTGGCAGAGTGTAGGCAGCTCTGTTAAGACACTGTGTGTCTGACTTTGGTTCATCCTAAGCCCTTCTCAGCACACATCCTCATTAGGGTTTCTGTCTGGTGGGAGGTTTTGAGGTGCGTCTCCCAGGGCACTCAGTGTGCTTTGGTATGTGTCACACAGCTGTCTTGCAGCGTGCAACCTGCAGTCCCTTCCTGTGACACTAAGCCAGAGGATGTGCCCCCCCCACTAACGATTGGCAGTCAGTCCATAGGGCAAGCATATACAGCAGGATGGGTGCTGGGTCTGCAGCACCGGTGGTTCTTGCTCTTCCAGTCCGCTCGGACAGGGACGTACAGCTTGCCAGTGTCAACAGAGCCTCTGTTCCCCTTGCCCAGAGGACAGAGGGACTGCAGCAGTGCACACCATGGTGGGCATTAGCGGAGGGGATCACAGTCCCCTTCATGCCGCCTTCCCACTGTGCTCGAGAGCCTTCGTGTTGGCAGCAACTGTGTTGTTGGGAGGCGCTGGTTCTGCCATCTGTGGTTTGGATAGGTATAGGTTAGTGTTTGCTTTTTACCTTAGTTTTGCTTTGATTTGTAACTTTTAAGCAACTAGAAAAATGACTGGATTTCCATTTATAAGCTAAGAAACACTTAGAAATTGTCTTCATTTGACTGAATGATTGATGCTAAGCTAAATAATTGGTACTCAACTGTCTGAAACTTCTTCCTTTGGATGGAAAGGCAGTGGATCAGGTTCTTTTTTTTCTTCTACCTTCTTTTCAAGTGAGGATTTAAATATTATTATTATTCATGCATTTTAGTGATTTTTTTTTTTTCCCCCATTGGATAGTTAAAAATGTTTTTGTCTTCCCCTTATTTCCAGATTGCTATGGCAGTGTTACGATGATCCAGAGTATTTGCTCGAATGAGAAATTTTAGGGTACACTGGTGTTTTGGACCAACATATTCGTCCTTTTGGTTCTAATTCAGCACTGCTTGAATACTTAGCTGAATTAGGACTTTTGTGAAAATGCTTCCCCTGTATCTCCAATTTGTGAGGACATCCTGCAAGTGACTCCTTGCATTAAGCTTCCTGTGGTGACCAAATGCAGTTTGACGAGAAGGTTTATTCTGCAAGGTTAACATTATTTTTCATTTAAGAGAATGTGAGGAGCTGCAGGCATATTTTTATTGGATTATTGTTCAAGCCCGTTGTTGGAAGAGGCGGCTGGAAGAGGCTCTGTGAGAACTGTGTTCGGCTAACAGTTCACTAGTTAATGGAGCTTTAACTTTTCATGGTTTGAGAACTGCTTTAAAGGTGGAAAGTTCTCCTGTGAAGGGGAGGGTCTTTTCTAAAATCTAACTTCCAACACAAGAGCAAACTATCTTTTTCTCTAATTTTTGTCTTTTTCTAAAGGGAGGTTACTCGATTGCAGATACAACTAAATGTAGGTACTTTGTTCTGTCTGATTAATTTTGAAAAGAAGGCTTGTAAAAACCTTGGCTGCATGTTGTCTTTAAACAAATGAACCTACTGTCCCTTCTAGTTGTATTCCTTTTCTCCAGCGTGCTGAAAGTAGCAGTTGGACTTTCCAGTCTGTGTCCATCTTTTGCAACCAGTTTTATTCTGGGTTTTGGCTTTTTTTGGTTTTGGTTTTGGTTTTTTTTTAATTTCTCTTTCTGTGACACTTCTAAGTTTAAATGTCTGTGGAGGTAGCTGATTTTCTACAAATCATACTGAATTCCCCCCTGGTATTTGACACTCTCACTGCGGGGTACATAGTCTTGTACTTCATGATGGTTCTTTTCAGAGAAAGTAGAGATGTAGCCTTTGATGCAAGAGACTTACAGTCCAGATACTTTTATGCTTGATTGTCAGATCTGATGAACTTGAAAGAAGAAAATGCATTTTTAAATACCTGTGTGATGTTTTCCTGGAATTTTACTATTAGTGTCTTATGCCTTGCTTATACAATGCATGAAATAAGTAATAAATGGGGACAAAGAGAAAAGGAGAAAGTTATATGGATTTTGTTGGTGTTTTTCTCCCTGTCTTTTCAGCAGCACTTTTCAGTATACGCTAGAAGCTACCAAATCTCTGCGTCAAAAGCAAGGGGAGGGGCCCATGACCTACTTGAACAAAGGACAGTTCTACGCCATCACCCTGAGCGAGACGGGGGACAACAAATGTTTCCGGCATCCCATCAGCAAAGTCAGGGTATAGTTCAATTTCTTTCCTAGAGGGGAAAGGATTTCTGCAGATAAATGTAGTTGTGGTTGGTTGGTTTTTAATAATTTTTCTTCTTGTGAGAGAGGACAGAGCAAGCTTACCCTTATGCCCAATGTAAAAGTGGGAGAGTAATAATGATGGTGGTCTCAAATATTTCTGGGTCCATTTTTTTCCAAGTGTGATCTTACAAGTTAATTATATACGTATCTGTGCAGTTAATGGTTTGGCAGAATAGTAATTGCCCAGATATTGCACTTGACATTGGTGAACTTATCATTGCCGTAATTAAAGAAAAAAATCAGAGAACTGCTACATCTACTATATAAGTCCATCTTGACTCACTCTTGCACTTCAGGGGATGCTTTCTAGTGCATTTCAGATAAAATGTGAAGAGTTGAAGCCATCCTTTGCGGCATAAATTTTAAACCACTCACATCATATAAGTGTGAGCTTTCACTTGATATTCACCCAGAAGTATGACCAAATGGATGATTTCCATCTTAGATTCCATGGGTAGAACTGGAGCTTGGGTATTCAGCAACATCTGCCTGGTGAACAGGCCTCCTGATTTTCCTGGTAATATTTTTGAGTAAGCAAATCCTAACCCAGTAACCTTGGAATGAACAACAAGCCTCAAAGTTGCTGCCCTGGAAATTTCACCCTGAAGCTGGAAGGGCTGCATATGTATGAGGCTGCAAAAGTGTTTCCATCCAAATAAATGTACTCTAAAAACATAGTGACTTTAGTCGTAGGAACCAATGAAAGTCAACATGAGCAGTGAAGCAGACAACAACTATATGTTTCTATCATACATGAAGTTTAGGGAGACTCTTCGGAAAGAGAGGCAATGATTTGTAAACCTGAATAGCAGTTAATTTTTAGCCTGGTTTCTTAAGGACATGAGGCTGATGATGGCGTTTTGTTGTTGGCTGAAGCTGATGTAAGACTTCTATGCTGCTGAAAAGTCTCTCTCCCTGCCACCCACCCATTCCTTCCCCCTTTGTGCTGCCAGCTCTAGCACTTATACAGCTGAAACGGGAGTCAGGAGCTCACTGGTCTTGCTGAAAACCAGTCCTCCTAAGTCTGATTCACTGCACAGCCAAATGAGTTTTGAAGCTGTGGCAGCAGAAGGGTGGACATTGTAAAGGAGAGATGAGACCATTTCTTTTGGAGGACCTACAGTTTACAGAAGATTGTGAAACCAAATGCAACCTTCATGATCATGTTCTGTTTGCCAGGCCCCCAGCCAAACAACTGTTGAATTTATTGCCAATTCCATCCAAACCTGACAGACGGGCAAGAGGTTTTGAAGGTATTAAACCTCTACAAGTTCCATGTAAATGCTTCACAGAGGAAAAAGATTAATGCTGTCCCTGGTGCAAAAGCTACAGTCTGCGCTGCCAGTTCTGGTTAGTGCATCAGCTGGCCAGCTAGCACATACCTGACAGCCAGCCAGTATGCATATGCATAACTCAGGACTCATGCACAGCATGTACTGCCTTGTGCTCATGCAGTAGCTAGACATGGAAGAAGCAGTGACGATGTTTGGCTTTTATAGGTGGAATGGAGAAGGTCAGAGAGCATGTGAAGGGTTATGGTGGTGAACATGAATCAGTCGTGATCCAGCTTCTCGGCTTCTGAAACAGCTTGTTGGTGTTTTATGAGCTTTGTGACTCAGGGTTAAAGAATGGAAACAAAAGAGGATATTTAAAAGTGAATTTTTTTCCTCTGTGATTTTTATTCACTTCAGTTTACCTAGTATGAGCATTTTTCATTGTTTTGTGTTTTTGTTTTGCTTGCCTACAGCAGGCCTTTTTTAAAAAGCCTTTGTTACTTATGTGAAGTTTTGCATAAAGTTTCAATCTGTTTCCTTTGAATCACACAGTTTAACAAAGGGAATTCAGAACTTGAACTGAAAAGCTCGGCAAATCCCAGTAAATAGTCACACTGAATTTGTCATTAAATACACGTATGCAAGAGTCCTGCTCCTGAGAAGGGTATCTGGACTATACGCTAAAACTGAAAATGTCCTGCCTTTAGCCAGTAAGCCTAAGCTTCGTAACAACATGTCCCTTTACAGTGTAATGTCATCTTCCAGAGTGACAAGGAATCTGAACTCCAACACTTAGACTGGACTTGGATCAGTATTGGAATTGGGGATCCTCTGACTTTGAAATGACCACTTTTTACTTAAGCCAACTTAGGCTTCTTAAATCTAAGAATATGATTAAATTTTATATGGACTATCAAGAATATAATCCCAGGCCCTGCATTATTTAGAGCTACTTTTTTTCTGCCCTGAGATTTTAAATGCATTGCAATATTGGACTGGAATAAAAAACAGCAATCTTCTGCAACCCAAGTACTGGGGGAGGGTGGTGACTGGATCAGCATTAGAGGCGTATGGGAGATGTTAATTTTTGTGTTTCTGACTGTTAATTACATGTTAACTAATGCAAGTTCTGTTGATTTTCTTAGAGCGTGGTCATGGTTGTTTTCAGTGAGGATAAAAACAGAGATGAACAGCTGAAATACTGGAAATACTGGCATTCTCGGCAGCACACAGCTAAGCAGCGGGTCCTTGACATCGGTGAGTGTAAGAGGATCTCCAAATGTTTCAGGGAAGATTGCAGAATGTGGAAATCTCTGGTACCTTGCATAGGGACGTGGTGGGATACATTGGCAATGGCTGCAAGGCTTGTACCACAGTTTTTAGCAATGGCTCATCCCTGCTAGGACTGGGCTATGGGGTCTATGAAGCATGACAGGGATCATGCAGAAGGAATGGTCCTCAGTAGTCACAAAGAAGAGCTGCTCCTTGCATGTGTACTTAATGGTGTTCCACCTTCTGCTGCTGGGAAGTCGAGGCACCTCCTCAGGAGTGGTAGAGTTTTTGTTTCCTTTAGTTTTTCAAAGGCTGATCCACTCTTTGATCCAGTAACAGTAGCAGCCCACATAACAGTTATGTTAGCTGATCTGATGTGTAAGTGCAGCCTGAGAGTGAAGATGCCATCATTATGGTGACTGCAAAGGAGCGCACAGGACTCCTACGCCCCCAGTTTTTGAGTCTTCTCGGTGTCAGAGAGAAGGGAGGGAGAAGCAAGCTCTGGTGTGCTATCCTAAGAGACCTGTTTACCGTTCGTCCCATCTAAGGTATTTACGAGCCCATTTCAGCCACAACTGCCCTATCCACATGCTTGGGAGATTTTAGCGGAGGAAGAACACGTACCTGCTGCCAAGGAGCCTGAAGTTGAAATCTGTGGGAGTGTCTAGACATCAAGCGCTTCTCCCCTCCCACGTGCAGTTTACACATGCAGCCATCTGCAGCAGATTCATTCCAGTCAAAGGAGTCGGCGAGACCAAAGCAGACAAAGTCTATCTTGTTTTGACCGCCTGAGGGAACCAAACCATTGAATGGCAGGAATGAGAGGGGGCAGAGAGGAGGGAGAAAAAAAAGCAGGGTTACTTGGAGAGAGTACTGCAAGACTTCAGGGGTGATTGAACAGGGCGATCAGGGAATCGTTTCCTAAGTGGTCTTACTCATGCATTTTGACTTTCAAATGCTGCAGCCTCCACTGAGGCCGGCATTAGTTAAAGTCAAGTGTATTTGGTCAAATCAGCTCTTTCTGAATCTCCTCTCTGCCTCTTGTCTTATCCTGATAGCTCTGACTGAACTGTTTCCCCAGCTCCTTTTTTTTTTTTTTTTTTTTTTTTTTTTGGCCTTTGGGGTAGTTAAGGCAGTAAAACCTCCACCCCAGACCAAATGACTCCTATCATGACACGTTTAAAGAGCAAGTATGCAACATCACAGCTATTTCTGAAGGCTGCCTGTTTTTTTGTGCTAGTCCCTACAAGCTTGCAGTGCTAACGCTCATGCCTCCGAAGGTATGTGCTGAGGAGCTTGTTCCATTGCAGTGCCAACACCCTCCAACTCCACCGCACTTGTGGTGTACTGGCACATTTCAGTCCCCTTACCCCGAACAGTCAGCTTATGATGCATATTCTGTAAAATGGCGCTCTGCAGAACAAGTGCTGTGCATGAGCTGTGTGTTTATCTGTGTTAAAGTGAATGTCTTTTGTGTTTCCATTAGTTTGAGATTAAATAGGTCTGTGCTGACTTTTGAGGCACTCTGGCGCTTATTTTTTATTTGGACTGCAAACATGAGCAAAGCCTAGTGTAGTAAGACTTACTGATATAGCACTCCCTGTCAGATGTAAGAACTGTAAGGGCACAGTTCACCTTAGTGTTTTCAGAAGAAAGACCTAGATGTTGCTCAGTAGTGTTTTCTTGAGAACAGCTGAAATACGGCCTTAGCTCTTACCAAGTACCATAGTTCTGAAGTACATTTCATTTTCTTTGGGACTTACATTGTGGATATTGGGCTTATTACGGCAGAATGGCTCCCAGCTACATTTCCCATAGAAGCATCAAGCTGTGTTTAGCAAAATCTTCCAGTGTTATCATCAGATGATCTAACTGAGCAACTTCATCCAAATTTGAAGTTGGCCCTGCTTTGAGTAGGAGTAGGGTAGGAGTTGAACCAGATAACCTCCAGGGGTCCCTTCCAAGCTAAATTATTGTGTGGCTCTATGAAGATTTCTCTTTACATTAAAAATTCACATCCTTGAAGGGCTTCTGTAAAGGAATGCTGAGTTAGCATCCAGGTCCTGTGTAGTTAACAGAGAGAATTAGGTGTCTATGAGGGAGATTAGCAAATGCCAGGGTACACCATGGAGAACCATTTAAACAGGCAGTGAGAGAAGCTTGCCAAGGACAGGGGTGTGTATCAGATTTGTCCCATCTTCAGGGCATGGTCTGCCAATCTGCTGGTAGCCCCACTTTTATTTTGGATTTCACTCCCAACTATCAACAGTATTTAGAGGGTTAATGATGTATTAGGCTCCTTTAAAACTATCTGTGAATAGCCATAAATCTGTGTAACCTGTTCCATAGATGTTTATGATGATTAATATTATTTTACGTTAATGTTTGTAGCATATGTTTAACATCTGTGAAACCTTTTGAATTGTTTATGAATGCACTTTTAATCTAGAGCATGACTTGGTCCACAGCAGGCAGAAAATCAAATGAATTTGGGATGTTCCAATTCTGGGGTCCAGTTATTCAGCCCTCACATAGGGGTGACTACTCTGCTTGTGCTGCTTTCCATGGTGGCATGGGTCTGTCTGCCTGCCTTCTGGCCTGCAGTTATATTCTGGAGGTCAGAGGAAATAGAGTGACTTGTTGCTGCACTCCAGACATGCAGGGGTCACTGCTTTAATTTGTTTTGTGTACTGGCTGGTGAACCTCCTGGGAGGAAGGATGGTTGAATGCATTAGATGCAGTACTGGGTCTGAAGATGTATTGATACTAGTAGGACAAGCATGTACTTACATGTAAGCAAGTCCTCAGTGCTTCAGGAATAAACTCGAGGACTTGACACTTATTAAGCAAGAAGGAAAGGTGTTTTCCAGAATTTAGGCTATGTGCTGTTATAGATTTTTCTGAAGAAGGAGAGAGTCACTTTCACTGTTTTTAGCAGGAGTGACGAAAAAAAAAGCTGACTTTTCCACAATGCTGTGCAGTGACATTGGATCACTAGCTTTTTCTTTTAAAATATTGTCAAATAAAGAATACAATACTAGATTGCAGCAGATATTGATTATTTAGAATCAGTACCATAATTTGACAAATACTGGAACAGGTTCAAACATGGACATAAAGAGTGGGTGTGGAAGCTTTAGATTGGGCTTATTTGTGCTCCAGAGTCTTGCCCATATTTTTTTGCAGGATAGTTTGTATTATTTATGTGCACAATACAAAAACTACTACAACAATATGTAATGCATGCAGATGACTAGTGTTTAGTGTTGAAATTTGCCATTGTTTAATATGCAGTTTACCCAATAAAAGAGGAAATAATTCCTATAGAGCCATTTTCTTGCATATCAAAAAAACCCTAATTTTCTATTTCTGGTAACTCACAGCAGCAGAAGAGGAAAAATAGTAGTCAGACTAACAACTTTCAAATATCCTTGGATGTAAATACTTTCTTAATCAACTGAGGATCCCTCTTTAATTATCTGTACATTGAGGGGAATAGGATGTACTTCTGCTTTTAAACAGCATGTCACATAGACATTCCATGAGATTTGTGTATGGCAATTAAGGAAGCGGAGGCATGTGTTGGGGGAAGGGAAGGTGGGATACAAGGTTCTGACAGCCTTTTGGGAGAAAACATGTGTCTTTACAAGACATCTTGTTCATATCTTTCCAAAGTGCACCTACACAGCACGCCCATATGCAGCAGTCAGTTGCACTTTCTGGTGAATCATAAATTTAAGGGGTGGGTGGATGTGTGCACATGCATATTAAACTACTTATGTGTCTTCTAATTCTTCTCATTTGCATTCCTACACTGAATTTAGATAGTGAAGCCAATGACTACAGTTAGAAAGGAGATCTGAGTTCATGATGGGAATGAAAAGCCTGCCAGCCCTCTCAAACACCATATTCACTTGCTGCATCACCAAATATCTCGTGCTGTTCCTATGGTCAGAACAATCAATTTTTACTGTATCCAAAGTCATTCATGTATCCCAGGCACACAGTTTCACTTTCCCAGTGAAATGCCAATATCCCTGCATTTCAGATGAGAGAAAAGTATACTGATTGCACATCTCAAATGTTAAATAAATCTTACAGCAGTGGTTTTGTTATAAGTTATTTTAAAACAATTATTACCTATAAATTATTTCTTTGGGACCAATAGTTTATTTTCAGAAGGGCAAAGGAAATGAATATTGAAACCATTTGAGGGTCTTATTTATAGAATACAAACCCATCCTTTTTCTGTAAGTGATTACAAAGCTAAGAATCAGCATGCTTCTGAAGCACAGATTTGGGCATATTTAGATCAAGATTGCTGCGTGACGTAATCTCAGCCCTCTGGCACTGAGTCCAATTACAGCCATTACAGCCCTGGAGGGATTCTAAGGAAATGTATATGTCCCAGAGAGAGTTGATGCATTTGCGTGAAGAATTTGGAAGTTCCTTTAATCAAGCAGATATTACCTTGTTACAAGCCTGGTCTTTCTCTTAATCTGTCATCAAAAAGAACAAACTGTGTTAATCTCGCTGGCAAAGGGAGAGAAAAACTGGGCTTGTTCCTCTCTTCAATTATAAAGAAGAGCTGAAAGTTGTCTGTCTGAGGTGGTTTGCCCTTACTGTTTTTTTTTGGGGGGGGATGGTGGGGACTGGGGGCTGGGTCATCTTTGAAATTTAGACTTCCTCCCTCTTGCTTTGCATTCCTTCTGAAATGCTAGTTTATTGATAGTATTAACAGCCCTTTGGAAAGAAGTGAGAAGAGGGTGCAGATTTTGTAGTTGGACAATTTAAAAATACTTTATGTTTGTTTGTTTGTTTGCTATTTTAGTATCATACACACTTCGAAGAAAGGATCTTCGTGTTTTTGGTTCTTTGTTCTGTGGGGGTTTTTTGCTGGTTTTTTTTTTTAATAGAGATCTAGCATCCAGTGCAGTAATTCCTGGGAAAGTTGAAACAGCTGGGCAAGGAATGTACACTACTGATTATTTCCTCCAATGATAGCTCTTAGGTTTTTAGAAAGCTTCTTTAGGATTTACCATAATGTCATTTATTTATGTTTCAATAGCTTTTAGTTAATTTTCCAGTTTTGGCCATTCTTTGGCCAAGCTAATGAATACACCCGCTCATTCCCACTACGGTTGCACTGATTCCTTTTTGAGAGCAAGCATTAATTTGCAAGAACATTCGCTAGTGATGTACTATGCATAAGACTCAAGTTGCAGTATATTACCTCTTTGCAATTAAGCTTATTAATAATTCAACATAAACAATACATGAGGTAGTTTTGGTGCATTAGAGAACCCAGCTGAAAAAGCAAAGATGTATTACGAATTGTAAAGGAGAAAATTCAAACCTTTTTCATGAGTCTTTTGTTTGTTATTTCTTACAGCTGATTACAAGGAGAGTTTTAATACCATTGGGAATATTGAAGAAATCGCATTCAATGCTGTGTCCTTTACTTGGGATGTCAATGAGGAGGCAAAGGTGAGGAAAAGCTGTGCAGATGGTATCCCTTTATAAGTACCATCCATTCTTAGTCACTGTTCCACTTCTCTCCTTTTTAACAAATAATAAGAAGGCTAGGTGGAGGTGAGAGAGCTCAGTCTCTGCAAAGCCAGGCAAACCGTGGTCTTTCACTGACCCCAGGGATTCTGGCCATCTGTAAAAGGCAAGATGGTATGTAACAGCTGTTGGGATGATATTGCATTCACACCTGTATCACTGACAAATAGAGATGTACTTCCGAGGAAAGCCTGCAGGGCTCTCACAGTGTAATTTCTTAGTTGTGGCCTCTCAGTGATGCTCCGTTTAAAATATGCCCAGCCTGAGAAACAGTAAAAGTTTTTTTTCCTACTTGCAAAGTCAGTGTAGGACACAAGATGAGTGTTTTCTTTCTTTAAATTATCAGCTTCCTTTCTACACTATTAACATCTCCAATAATCAATATTCTGTAAAGTAGACTATGCCTTCCCTTGTGTTGGTGCCATTATTTTTTATAGTGTTACACAGACTGTCCTTGCAATTGGGAATGAACGTATTTTTGAGGACTGTTTTTGAGGTGTGATGCATTCATTCTTTCTTTCCTTTCTTGTGTTTTTTGGTGGTGTGGTTTTTTGTTTTGGGTTTGTTTTTTTTTTTTCAGCAGTCAAGTACTCTCAAACATGGGGTTTTGCATTTGGGGATGTGACTGCTACAGTGGACTTATAAACCAGGACAGCAGTGCAGCTTAACAAGTTTCTTATCTATAAGTTTATCCAAAGGGTGGCAGAGTGTTTCAGCTGTGCAGACTTGTGTAGGGGAAATTAAAAGCTGCCGGTAATTGTAAGAAGAAGTTGGCCCCTGGAAAGCAAACAACAAGGGAAATAGGCTGTGTAAAATGAGCAGGGGGTATTGCAGGACTCTTGGGGATGTAGAAATAATAAACAGCAAACGCTGTCGAGCTTAGCAAATCCTGATACTGTTTTCATGTTGAATACAAAACGCTCAATGTACAAGTAATGCTAAGGATCTTGCAAATACAGAGACATCTTCATGCACAATTCCCCACTGCCTTTCTAACCGCATTAGAGAGATTGTATCGAGTGAGTGAGTCCTGTGAGAGATTGCATCGAGCATGGAGTGGTAGCGTTAACACTCACTGTCCTTACTTCCTGACTGAAGGTGCTGAGGTTTGTCGTAACAGGGATTTTCATCTCTGCACATTTTAAAAGAAGAGAGCGGTAAAGAAAAGACAATAGTTCTGAAAACCACCTAGCTCTTTCAAAAGCTGGCCTTGGTAAACAGAGTTGTACTTGGCCCAGTTGCTAATGGTGCTATATTTACTCATGTAATGATTACATTCTTACTGCCCCAGATATTCCCCTATTATATCATTCCATTCCATAATACAGCAGTGTGTTGTCCTCTGCAGTCACAACAGATGACCACACAACAGCTGTGTGCATGTGATCATTATGCAAGCAAATACAGATTTGGGATCTCCAGCATGATGGACTTTCCTAAGGACCTTTACAGAAGCACTACCAGGGCTGTAAGCATGACAGTCTTGTCCCACCGGCAGCTACCAGCCCCTTTGCCAGGGCTGGCAGTTCTTTAACACATTTGCATTTGCAGCTGCAAGCCAGACTTAGCAAGACACCATGTTGATCTAGCAGCAAGAGGGTCACATTCACTCATGTCAGGTGTTATCTTCAGCCATTTTGTTCTAATCTCGCACCATTCACATTGCTCTTGCCTTGGGTACCAGAACATTAACAACACAGGTCTCACAATGATCACTGGAAATACAACATAGTAAGATTTTAGAATAATGACTCTCTTATTGTTGCTGGATTAAAAAAGTGTCAGGAGTGAAATTTAAGCAAGCCGCTTGTATTTCTGCAGGAAGTAGTCATTAAAATGCAAATTGGCTTATTTATTTTGGGGAGTAGTTATCAAATATTTGATCGTTTAGGAGCTTGAACTGCAAATGTATTGATAAAAGTAAGAGGATTCATAACATGCTTTGGTACTGGGTTATCAAGCATAAATCGGGTTGTACCTGAAAGCTTATCACTGTGCTCTAAAGTGTTTTCCCTCCCCGCACACGTGTACGTGTACCCACATGCTTGCTCTTGTTGGAGAGTCTAATACAATAACCAGCTGCGCTGGGTCTGGGGATTCCCATAGGATGTCCCTGCAGTGTTTGAAAGCTGTGGGCTCTGAGGCACGTCACTGAAGGCTGTGTTTTTTCTCCAGCAATTACCTCATCCAAGAGAGATGAAGAATTTCAAGGCCTAATTACAGACTGTCTTTTCTTAAGCTTTTTGAACGATGATCTTTCAACTGGCTCCATTGTTTCTGCTCAGTGTTGTTTTCCCTTTTCACCACAATTTCAAGATTAAAACTTAACCTCACAGGCACAAAGACCTTTCTCTTCCGAGTCAGACAAAAGCGGCACAGAGCAGTTCTTTCCAGGGCCTCTGAGATATGATGTGATGAAGCGCTCTACTGGCCCGGGGAGAAATAAAGAAAACAGACCAGGTGTTGGAAGTGCATGGTGGAGCGATCTTGAAAAATCAAACAGAAGCAGCAGAAATCACCTAACCGAAAATCACCTAATCAAATATCCCTGTCTCTCCTGGGAGACTAAATCCCACATCTAGGAAGACTTATCTGGAGCATCAGATTTCTCACTTTCCTGCTCCACCTGGAGGGCAGCTGATTTAAAGCCAGATTTCCCCTCCCACACGCAAGCAGAGCAGTACCCTCCTCCTGGAAGCCCTTCAGGGTGAGGGTATAACAGCGTGGGTGTGACAGCCAGAATCTGCCTGCTAACAGTGAGCCTGCTAAGGGTTTGTCAGGCAGCATCTCGGTTGGATCTTATGTGGAAGAAACAGGCGTTCAGAGAGTACAGGCAGAGGCCTCTCTTTATCGCCTCAGTAACGCGAAGGAACTGGGGTGCAGGCCCTAGCTCCCCATGCTCAGTTCCTCGTCTTCTGACTGCTGCTTGGCAGAACAAGCCAGTGGAAGAGGGAATCTTGTACAGCTCGTGTTGAGCTGTGGAATGATCTCGCCGTTGCTGTCCGTGGTCTAAGGGAACAGCACCAAAGTCAGAAACACCACGCCGCTAGCGTTTCTGCTGCTGTATCTGGTCGACAACAGCAGTCCCCTTGCCTTCTGGCAGAGCAGAGTTGGGCCTGGCACATCCTTACTTTTTTCCAGAACGACATCCTTTTCTGCTGGGGTCGTTGTCTAGAGGTCACCATGGGGCTTGTGGTTCAGAGCAGGATACAGGAAAATGAGAGGAAGGGTCTACAGCCACGTCAAACTCTTCCTTATGCTTCCTTGAGACAAAAATACTGTGCAGTATTTAAGCAGAGGTGGGAAGTGAGGGACACCTTTTGTACAGTCCATCTTAATTTCACTCCCATAGTTACTTCTATGTATAAATATGCAACATTTATGGGCAAGGTGATTTGTTGGCTCCCTTTGGTTGAACCTGAATGCTATGTTTGGTATTTTTAAAGGAGCCCTTTAAAAAAAGGTGAGAAAACAAACAACAATTAACAAGAACTGGCTGACTTTTTAACAATCTTTTAAAAGTCTTTTTATGATATGCTAGGAGGTGGGTAGTTGCCTTGCTGTTGCCCCACAGAAGATTTTGCTGCAGCCTCTGGCTGGTTGACAAGAGTTCTAATGAAGGCTTCTGAACAGAGAGCTCAGTTTCATTTTTGATAGACGTACATCTGCCTGCTTACAGTCTTATTGCTGAGAGAAGTTAGTTTGCAAGAAAGACAATTAAGAACCAGAACTCTTCTGGTTAAAGGAGAATATCTTTGTCATAAATCATGCCAACTCTTTGAGATATGCCTTCTGTCGGATTAATACTTTGCTAATTTAAAACGGTTAGGATGATGTTACTTCTGAAATAATATGTTAGTTGTATATTTTTATGGAAAGTACTTTTTAACCTTAAATTCAAAGGTGTGACTTCAGTGAACAGTTGCTAAAGAAAAATGCCACCTTAAAGCAGACAAAAACTACTTTTCAGTGGTATCAAGAAATTAGTGATTTCTGCTAAGCACTGCAACTTGGGCATGTGGTAAACAGGCTTGTTGGCGGATATGTTATTCAGGCAGGTGCTGGCACATGCTTTTTGGTGTGTACAGTAGTTGTGTGCTGTGCAGTTGTTGTGTATACTTGCGTGCAATCATTGTCCTGCTATATTTAACTGAAATGTAGATCTTTAATCCAAAGCATGCTGAAGCTTCTGGGAACCTTTCCAGTTATTTAATGAGTTTTGGCATAGCCCATACAGTAATAAGCTTTTTTCAATGAGTGAGTGATTTGCAGGATTAGGTTCTTAGATATTGTGGGCTGAAGTGAGCTATGATTCCAGTGGGTACAATGATAAAATCAAGCTTATAGAGCAGCACAGTCTCTAGCAGTGATTTGTATTGTGACAATCCATATTTCTTCAACATTGCTAGTGATACTTCGGACAGGCTTTGACTAGTATAAGAATTATTTTTTTCTTAATTATTAATTTCCTTCCTAAGTTACATCAAATTTCATTTAATTAGGGAGGAAATTAATATTTTCTCTACTCTCAAAATTTAAAGGTTGGAGGAAAAGATACTTCATTTGGGGGAGTTAGTACCAGAAACGATGTAGGATTAAACTTGACAGCTGCTTTAAACCATGTTTGTGTGTGCAGGCATGCATATATGTATTTATGCCAGGCATGCACATGCACATGTATATATTAAAGAAGAGTTAACCTGTGGTTGCAATTAATGTTGAAATTTCAGTCTATACAAATGGCTTGGTAAGTATGTATCTGGGATTCAAGGCAAATGGCATTTTTATGTAGTTGCTGGGGTGTGGTATGGTTTGAGGAAGCTTCAAAAGAGTAGTGTAAACATTTGGTGGAGACATTTGTATTGAAATAAAACAAAGGTCTTACCTTTGTAAGGGATTTATAAGGTAAATGGCTGGCAGGAGAAACTATAAAACTATACTTTTTGTGTATACGAGGAATGATGGGATTGATGTTAGTCATTTGAGAGACAAGCCATTTAACTCTTTGTTGCTACAGTCTGGACGGACGAACCCTTTTAAAACAGGATTTTGTAAAGACCTGTCACCCAGGCATAGATTCTATGTATTGTCAGTAGAGAAATTGCTTTAAGTTTCTGATTTTGTGCTGTAACACACTCTTCCCTCCCTTCTGCCCTTGGCTCTTTCTGAGATGATGGGATCCAGAAATGTAAATAGTAATAAAAGGCTTCTATTAGAAGTTTCGTAACTGTAGACCTTTAAAGTGTATAAGCTGAGAGACCGCAGCAGGAGTCATGTTGGCTGGATTAAATGATAAAAGGGGAAATGCATTTCTGAGCCTTGCTTTCTCCTAAGGCAGGTTACTGTGTTTGTGTCTTGTACATCACTAATTATGCTGCAGTATTTAACAAACAGTCAGTAATTCACATAATAACAGCTACACTGTAGAGCAGCGCCTTCCCCGAAAGAGAGAGTGATTTTTCTAGACATGCGCTATAACAAACAGAAGATTGTCGTTATCTTAGGCCACTTTTGAAAGTTTCTCAGGCACCAAATGTTTCTCCAAATTAGTTTTGCATTGCCAATGGCATGCCTGAGCTGGAGACTAGATGGGTGGAACTCTGTCATTAATTGTTCTAATCTAAGATATGCTGACATTAAAAAAAAGACATCACTATAACGACAACCCAAATGTGTTCCTGATAGCAAAACATTGCTAAAATCCAGTTTGCACACACACACAAAAAAAAGTTTGTAAATGAATTCAGGTACAGCCATAGTCACATCCATTAAAATAGTTCTAAGTCAAGTGTAGACAGGGGCCTGGGGACAAAAAAGCAGTGATGTCTACTCCTGCTGCTGTCATTTCTATTTAACTCTACATTTTCTAACCGTGTAACTCTACTATGCAAGAGACCAGAGCAAGGAGGATCTTAAACCTGGGTGTCTTCCAAGAGAGGTAGAGCAGGAGTTCATCTTTTCGTGGCTGCCTGTGGGGTTGTTTTGCTCGTTGTCTCATTGAGAGTGGGAGTACCTGCATTACGGACAGGAGCTGCAAAGGAGGGAAAGATGAAGGTTGTAAAGGGCAAAGCAGGCTGTGCTTGGATAGGTGGGTGAAATCATTGCTGCTCAGAGCAGGCTGCATTCCTCGGCCACTGCTTCGGGGAGGTGAAGATTTCTGCTCAGAGCAGGGGCAGAGAGATGGGGACTGTGCAAAGGGTTCCCCAGGTCCTGTTCACCACAGCAGCCTCCTGCACCACAGTGTTAAAACTGGTGCAAATCTTCAGTCATGCAAAGAACCCCCTCCCCAAATCAACTCAAGTACAGAACTTACGCCCTCTTCTCCTTCCTTTTGCACACCCCCCGTGTTTTACAAATCCAAAGTCAGTGTTGTGCTTTACAGGAAAGCTAATAGAAGATTGTGTGGAGACAGAAAGTTTTCCCAAAAATGAATGATCTGTGTTAATTTGAATCCATCTGTCTATCTGTGAGGTGCAAATGGTATTGACAGAAAGTATAGTATACTTCATGCACATGAACATACAGTCACTGCTCCTCAGAGACCTCCTGATGTACTACAGTGTCAGGACAAGGATATTGAATCTTACAACATCAATCTGTTATTCATGCTGAATAATCTGTTATTGCTGTATGGGGACTCTTGAATAAAGTCTGTCTTCCCCAGCCTCTCCTACTCTGCTTTGTGTTTCTGGAGGCAGTGGAAGAGATGACACACAGTGTGCGTAGCTGATTAAGGTGGAAGAAGATCTTTTTTTACTTCTCAGCAGAGTGTGCAGCAGAGGTGGTAGATGCACAAACTGCTGGGTAGACGCAAAGCCTGCACATACCCTCTCACATTTTAACGTACAATTTGGAAAACTCCTGTGCAGAAGTATGGGCTAAAATATAGCAAGACCAGATTCTGGTTTATGCCAGGCCTGATTCCACTGCTCTGTATTCACACACACTTTAAAGCATTGCCCTGACACTGGAAAGGAGTCTCAAGGCAAATGAAAATTCAGGCTGTCATATTTCAAAGGCATATGCACCCAAATCCACACTTACCTTTGGAGCTGGAGAGACCAAGTTGTAATTTGAAACAGAAATAACACTATCAGCTTCAAAATCAGAGTTTCACCTAGGGCCCTTCCCCGCCTCCCTCCTCTGCCCGCAGTTAAAGTTCAACTATTTCATTTGTAAATGCAGCTCTCTGATACAATCAGAAGCAGAAATGCGGAGGGGCCTTTAGCTCAGTCAGGCAAACAAGCTGCTCTAGGTCCATCGTAAAAAAACCCGACTGTAATGTTAACTTCTGCCATTAGGGTAAAGTATCCCTCCAGCAGCCCTACCGGAGCCTGTCTTTATTCTCAGCTGCCTTTCTCTTAGGGATGTTGCATTCTGGTCACTCAAACTGTTTTTTTCCCCTGCTTGTGTATGGAGGAGGGGTTCCTTCATGCTCTCCCTTCCTGAACCCTTCCAGACCCCAGGGAGTGCGGACCCAGGGGTGAGGTGTGCATCAGGTCTGTTTGAGATCTCTTCCTTCCCGAGTGTGCTCTTTCTGCTGGAGCAGGTTTCACATCCTCCTGGTTCAGGAAATACGTACTGACGGTTTTCTCTGTCCTTTTCCTTGGTTCACAGTTTTGGGGTTTGTTTGTTTGTTTGTTTTTTTGTTGTTGCTCTTTAAACTGGGGAAAAGTGAAAAGTAGAATCAGGTTAATACATAATTGGCCCAAATTACTATGTAATGCACATATTCCTCGCTGGGAAGAAAATTGGATTTTTAATCCAGTTTCATCTCTCAAGTTTCACGCACTCTATCCTGACTGAAAGATATCAGTGATGTTTCAGTTCACAATGCTTGCTTTGCATTAGAATAGTCCTCGGGAGACTTGGTGGTGGGCAGCCCTTATCCCAGGTCCTGTACAAACACATGGCAGATGAGGCACACCTTGTCCCATGGCACCGATGGGGATTAGAGGGCAGGAGATGACTAGTGGCTATCAACAGGCGTAAGTGGGTGGTAGAAGGAAAGCACTGAGATGGATTTCTGAAGCAAAGGCAGGCAGGGGGCTTGTCAGGAACTGAAGGCAAAGTCCAGTTGTGTGGATGCTACATGGCAAAGGGGACTTTGACAAGAGTTATGGAGTAGTTTTGTAAATGTTTGAGAAACTCCTTCCCAGTTTGAAAGACAGGGTGAGATGCAGTTTTGAAATTGAAGAAAGACAGTGAAGGACCCTCAAAGGGAAGATCAGGAGTATGTGTTGATGAGATGGAGGAAGGGCTACTGCTGATGAGAATGTGAAGAGAATTTGTAAAATGAAAAAAAGGGTAGGATTTATCTTTGGCCACACTGAATTTAAATTGTGAGCTGTCAGAAGAACAAGCCAGACCAAAAGACAGCTGGAAAGGACGATGCAAGATCATCTTGCTATGTCTATATTAACAAATAGTACAAACATACAGAGCAGGTTTGTAGAGTGAAACAAGTCAGGGCTAAAGACCTGACATCCACGTGAGGCACATTTTAGGCGGTTTTATCTCAGATGATCTTTAGTCGTTTCACATGGACTGAGCAACCATTAGCAGCTGGAGCATGGGAGGTGTGCTCCTAGGATGCATCTTCTGGTCCAAAAAGAATCCAGCTCGTGCACTCTGAGCTCTCTGATATGAACCAAAGCACAGTAAGTTGGGACAATCAGATGATTCACCTCAAATGTGAGCTCTGATCCAAGCTGAAGCAGCGATACACAGTTTAAAGGTTTGTCCTTCTTCCCAGCATGAGAGCATCTTTGCTGGACTTAGGACGGAGTGGAGAATAAATGTGTGAATTGCCAGAGCGTGGATCAGATCGTCGTTAATTTTTTTTTTGGGGGGGGGGGGGGAATCTGCTTTTATTTTCCCATTTGTTGTCATGTGTTTCTGGAATTTTAGTAGTTATTTGCACCACATTTTAAAAGTAATCTTTCTGGCACACAGATTTTCATAACAGTGAATTGCTTGAGCACAGACTTCTCCTCGCAAAAAGGAGTAAAAGGGCTTCCTTTGATGATTCAGATTGATACATACAGCTACAACAACCGCAGCAATAAACCCATCCACCGAGCCTACTGCCAGATCAAGGTGTTTTGTGACAAGGTAAGTGGAAAGCACAGTTACCACGGATAGAGGAGGAAACTTGTTAGACAGTTTATTATTGCTGTATTTTAGACATAATTAAATGTTTTTTCTTTCCCTAAAGAATTGTGTTTCATGGTAGAATTTGGACCAGCTATGTCATAAATCTTAACAGATTATCATGTAATTATTTTACTGCTTTGCAGCCTTTTTGGCCCTGATTCCTCAGCTTGTGAGCAATAGTTGGACTGTTTAAGGACAGCATGTTATAGGTCACGATACACGAATATCAAAAAAAAGTCACAGGAAGTACAAACGTAAAGAACTCTACTTGGAAGGTCAGTGCTGACCATAGGCTCATGCAAGTGCCAGTCTGATGATGTTATCCCTTCTGTCTCTAATAGCCAGGATAGGTAAAGTGTAAACTTTGTGGAGAGGTCTCTGACAGGAAATGCACCTTTCAGTAAAGGCCTGCTAAGCGTTCTTTCATGATACTGGAAAACACAGAGTCCCAATGATGCAGCTGATGTTTTTTCCCTTCTCATTTGATTACAAGCTGTTATTTTGGAAGCTTCAGTGAGAACTTCTATGTTGCTAGGATTTTCTTATTAGAAGTTAAGTAAACTACAAAAATATATTAGCCATTAGTTCAGTAACTACTTTTTTTTGTGCTCACTCCCTCTTTTGCAAAATTTTGTTATTTTACAATGCATTTCCCTACTCCTTTGTGGGAACTGGTAAGATTTTTCAGCACCAAAACATAGATCATGCCTTAGTGAGTCTGATAGTGTCATGGTCAGCTGTATATATCACCAAGTAGAAACAGTTGCTCAGAAATGTTACATCAGTGATGATTTTTAGATGTGAGCATGACCATGTTTCAGTTGTGTTTAACACCTGCCAGCCGATGACTTTATTCCTGTTGGGAAAGATATTCCAGGGGGGAGCTGGATTCTAGTCAAGGTTCAGGGATTCAGGAGCCAACATCTATTTTAAGTGACTCAGAAATTTATCCAAATTAGTCTTGCCATCTTACAGGTGGGAATAGAAAAGCAAAAGGCCATGCCCCAGGCAATACGTAGCATTAACTTTTTAATGGAAAGGGTAAGAGTTCAACTGTTCCAGGTCTCTGTGCTGCTGCTCCTTCCCCTTTTTCAGTTCTTTCCCTTGTTGCTGTCTTGACAACGGGATCTTGAGGGCTAATCAGTCAGTTGTGTTAGTGGAGCTAAAACTCTGAAAGTAATTAATGTAAATGTATGCACTGAGGTCTTCTTGCAAGTCAAAATGTTATGCTTTTAATTTTAACTTTGAATGTCAAATATTTAGAGATTTGAAGCTACAGCTGGATGTTAAAAGCTCCGTAAATATCAAAGTAACAAGTCGTTTTCATCTACCTGTTTTTGAAAAGCAATTAGAAAACTCTGAATTATTTTTAAAAAGGAAGGAAACTCAGAGCACAAACTCATCAAGAGTGACCTGTAGACACAACTGATGGAGATTTTGAATAATACATGTTCATTGCATCTATTGGATTAATTGGCACTTCAGATACGCAGACTAGAAAGTAGGAAATGAATGCTGAGTCTTTCAATCAAGACCATCTCAAAGTAGAAGAAAAGATCACAGGGGTAGTTAAAGCATTATTCACATCAAAACTATATTGAAAGTGGGAACTGGAGGGCTCAAGGGTATTAATAATGGGGTTTATATCTGTATAATATAAATGTATACCCACATACATGCACACAGAGCTTTTTAACTTAATGCAGGGATGTAAATGAGTTGAATGAATGAAAATGAATGAAAATTATCGAGGTCAATTCACATGACAGTTTGTGCTAATTGGCACTTGGAAAGAGACTGAGGCCTGCTTCTCCCCTCACTTAATGCTGCTATATCTTTACCGACATCCATTTGTCACGGTGCTTTTGTAAGTAAATAAATGGTTGGAGAATTTCCACCTGCTGGTGGCACTGCGAGAATTCGTTGTGCTCAGAGGAAAGTAGCTGGTGGGGCTGGGTACCCTCATGTTCCTAAGATGCCAAAATAAAACCCTGGCGCTGGTTGAGGCAGTGCTAAATGGAGGGTCCTAGCTCAGTCTCTCTTGGGACTCTGAGACTCGCCCTCTAGTGACAAAGACAGGGTTTGCTGCCTGTTTTGGGAAAGGCCGTGAAGCTGAGACAATTAACTGCCCACTTCTTTGTCAGGGTCAATTAAAGAAGTATTATGGGGCCATTTAAAAAAACACAGCAAACAAAGAATAATTTTTATACATTTTAAAAGTGAATTGCACCATTATGCCCCAATCTGACAACCCCAAAGAGAAGCTGATGAGAAAAGTGCTTGATTTATTAACAATCATCTGGATCAGAGGAACTGCACAGTAAATTCCTCCCGCCTAAGTACTGAAATGTATCTTAGTTTGAAATGTGGAAGAAAAAATGTTTCTGTGTCTGTCAGCGGTCCTATAAATGCTTTTTCTGCAGTGATGGTGCGTCTTTAGGACCAGTAGATGTGTTTGTATATTAACTTAGATAATAAATCAGAAGTAGAGGTGCCCAGTCTTTAACAAAAACATTTGCTGATAAATTAATGCACTCCAGCTGAATATAGCATAGCTGTTGTGGAAAGAGTATCCCTGAAGAAATAAAACTGCATTTAGCTAAGTGGTACATATTATATATATTTTAGTATTTACTCAGGCAGTTGCTTAAATTTAGTTTTCATTTACATATAAACTAGAGAGCAACACCAACTCGGATCCAATGTGTGCTTTTTGACATAAATGTATGGAGATAAAGGCTGCAAAGGTTGTAATCATGTGCTTGCTCCCTATTCATTCTCCAATCTTTTGTCCGTGTTTATCTTCTAGTAGGCAATCTTCAAAGCAACCGTTACAGTGCACATCTTGTTTTCTCAGTGCTAATTCTCTCTGCCCTTGCAGTCTTTTTATCATGTGCAGATCACTGATGCTGCATTATGATAAGAGAATATGATTTTTATTCCTTAAGTAGGTTGTCAGGGAAACTTGCTACCAGGCCTATTTATATTTATATATTGCAAGATGCTTTAGCCACTGTGGATGAAGGAACTGGGGATTCAGAGATATTTTGATTTTCTGTATGTGATTAGCTTTGCTGAAAAGAAGCAGAAGCATTTGACTTGGCAAATACCATAACATTGTTCCAAAATCAAGTAAATTAATCCCATTTTCTTTACTCTGAAAAACTACATGTTGTTTGGAATATATGCAGTTCCTGCCTTCTTGTCCTCAGTATGGATCATCATAGAGAAAATGGATTATCATAGAGTATTGAGCAACTGTAATTGCCTATTAATCTTCAGCTTTAGAGAGAAGGCTGAAGTCTATGGGCCTGTCCTACCTGATGTGGAACAGTTTGGTCTTGAACCAGAAACAGGTGTACACATGAGCTTCATAATGGTGATGGGAGTGGTCCTTATGATGGTAAGGGCTTTGCTAGGCTGGAGCTAGAACGTAAGACCTAAGCTTAAATGAGTTGAAGTCTTGGTGAAAAAAAAAAAATGAATCAGCTGTGTGTTCATAGGCTGTGTTTTGCTAATGGTTAATAGCCAAAGTACTTGTTGCATTTATGAAAAGTCCAGACATCAATGAAAAAATTAAAAACTCATTTATTTATTTGACTGGTCAGAGCCCAATTTATAGTCCCCTATGAGAGGGTTATTTTTTCTTCTGTCCTGAAGAGATATGCAAACTCCTATTTATTAGATATGTGTCAGATGGCTCAGCTGTGAAAACTGTCCAATAGAAATGCTCTGGTATGCACAAATCTTATTGTGGTCCATTGCCTCAGCACCTACAGCAATGACGTACATCAGGTAGGCTTGGCTGGCCCCTGCACTGTGCCACGTGGGATGCTCCTAGCTCAGAAGGGCTGGTAGATGTGTGGGTATTGCAGTTGCCGCAGCTGTGAAATAGCTGTGGCACAAATAACCACTGGCAGATGGGAATGGCTGCCCTGCTCAGAGATTGCCCGCACCCCAGAGGACTTGGGGGGTGTCTTGCCGTGAATGAGTGAAGACAAAGCTGTGGAGCTTTACCAAGTTCGTAGTTACAGAGAATATAAAATTAAAATCAGCAAAACATACGTTCTTTATTGTGTATAAAAGGCTGAGCCTTCCTCAGTTTCTGCTTTCCTGAGAGGAAACTTGCACTTGCTGCCGTGTATGAAATTACTTTCATGGTTCGTCCTGCTACCTGTGAGCAGGAGAGCGGCAGCACTGAGCGGTAGGTAGGGCTGTGGCCGGCTGGCAGAGCCGCTTTGTGCGGTGCAGGGCTCTCGGGGGTGTGCCTGTTGCCAGAGAGTGGCTGTGAGGCATATTTTTGCTCCTTTCTGCTAAAGAACAGGTGGCCTTTAAGGATACAAATGTACCTCTAGAAACAATTTTGATAAGGGCACGACTGAATCCCTTGGCTTCTGTGGTTGAGGCCAGTGACAACTTGATTGGGACCTGGGCCTGGAGGCAATGTTTTTTAAAGAGCTGTTTCTTCCTCCACCTCCTTCAACCTCTGGAAATCTATTAATAGATGACAGCCAGGAGTACATCTTTCCTTGCATTCTTTACAAGCACGGTTCATTGGCTCATGTGTGAATTTTGCCATCTTGAGTGGGTATTTTTGCCTTTCCTTACCTCCCTTCTCCTACCCCCTTTCTTTTAAATAAACTTCTAATTTTAATTTGGATAAAATCTTCAATTTTGCATGCGAACTGTCTGGGAGCATATGGATCTTTAATACCCTTCACAACATGACTATTCATATTTATAAAGTAAATTAGGAGAACTTCAAAGGAGGTGTTGCTGCTTTTTCTGTCAATAACAAGTTTTATTTTCTAAACTTGTTGAGAGTGTATTTACATAATAGAAGCCTGCAACTTCCCAGGAGTTCCTGGGGCCTAATAGGGCAGTGCTACATTGCTTTCCAGTTTCTGGAGGGCTTCTCCCTGTTTGAAATGCCTTTATTTTTCTGCAAGAGCCCTTGCACTGTTGGCAAGCTGTCAGTGTAGCCTTCTTGCACTGGCAAATCTCAAAGCCCTTTACAAAGCTGGCCACAGTGGAGCAATGCCACCACCCCCAGACAAGGTGGGTGGAGGAGAGTTTAGGGAAAAGCTTAGCACAGACATGATCTAAGATGATAGCAATCCTGCAGGTGTTTTACGTCAGTACATACGCAAAGTATTTGGCCTGAGCGCTCTGTCCGTTGCAGAGGCGCTGGGCTCAGGATGCCCTTTGTGCAAGTTGTGGTGGCAACAGCCCTGCTACAGACTGCATGCAGCCTGAGCCATCCATCCCGTGTCCTCCAAGCTAGCATGTGGATATGTTCCTCTTGCTGTCTCCAGCCCTGGGGGCTGCTGGATGTGCCAGCCTGAGTTTCGGTCACAGGTGATCAGTCTGAAGCTGGCATGTTCCCAACAATCTGGACAGATTTGTCTGCAATGGGATAACCAGTCTCTGTTTCAACATTTCTGATGTGTCTGTCGCTGTAGTTCCAGGCATTGCAGGGTACAATGCTCACGGTGGTTCCTTATTGGATAATATCTGTGGGTTGTCTTTTTTGCATCAGGGAGCAGAAAGGAAAATCCGAGATGAAGAGAGGAAGCAGAACAGGAAGAAAGGCAAAGGCCAGGCATCCCAAGCCTCGTGTAACAACTGTGAGTAAGATGGGCCTTTCTGGGTTGGGGCTAAGTCACGCTTAACATGCCTCCTCTCATAACCATGTTTCTTTGTGATCCTCCTAGCAGCTGAAGGGAAGTTGAGTGCACTCCCTCCGCAAAAAAAGAGCGATATCACCTTCTTCAAAACAATGGCTGACCTGGATTCCCAGCCAGTTCTCTTTATACCAGATGTTCACTTTGGAAACCTACAAAGAACTGGACAGGTAGGAAAGGGTAATGAGACAAGATGGTGCCCACCTGCTGTCTGGCTGCCTGTGCTCTGAGGCAGGTTTTAGGAAAATAAATCACTGTTCCTGGGGGCCGCTTGTTTCAGGTCTCGTTTTGGTAAATGCAGCTCTTGGGGAGTGACTTAAAAAAGACCTTACAAGAGACAAGTGCCTTTCTGAGTTCTGGGTGTGAAAAAGGAGTTTATACTTGATTAATAACTGACTAGTTTGTGTTTGTTATGGGTTTGCCATTCCTTTGCTAGGAAGAAAATCTGGAACAAATAGTCAAGAATTCTAAAATAGAAGGTTGCTTTGTGACTGCAAGAAAGTTTAGTTTTGAATGTGCTATTTGGCTTGATGAAATGAAGTGCCACCTTGTGGTAACAGAGATCCCCCTCCCTGTGACAACTGAAAACAAAGACCAAGCTCTTACATGTATAAGGAGGTCAAGACTAGGCTCACCACTGCCCGTTTTCTGTCGGCATCACCTAGAGATCTGGGAATTCCTTGGAAGAAAATATTTTCACTCTACAAAGTGAAAATCTCTCATGCTAATGTTAATATTCAATATTGGCAGTCATTATCACCAGTAAATGTGAGGAAGTCTTTGCTGACTTGACTCTTTTAAGACTTACTTTATTGCTTGCTGGGAAATTGCAAATCTGAACTGGAGGGTCAGCTCTGACATTTTTTTCAGTATGAACCTGTTACTTGTTAACATCTCAGGGAGTAGAATGAGACCTTTATGCATGTGTTTATATAAGGACAAATAATAGATGAGGAAATTTTATATGCATCTTGCTGCCAAATATTAAAATAATGGATTAAATGATACCGAGTGTTGGAATTGTCATTTATTTTAAAGCAGTGAGAATTTTGGTGGAGCAAAGCACAAAGAGCGCAGACATTGCAATCACAGCTGTCGCTGACTTACCCTCCAAAATTGGAAAGACGCCCACTCACATATCAGTGCTGGGTACCTTCTGTCCTCATGGCTTTCAAACCAGAATGTGGATTTGTCTCAAAACAGGAGAAGATGGAAGCATTCCTTAGTATATGTAATCCTGTAAATAATTTTCTAAACTAACTGGAAGATCGCCCAGTTTGCTAGCTCTTAGGCAACGTTCAGCCCTGTCTTTTACTGCTGTATAGGTTGCAGTATCAGCATTCTTGCTGTCCTGAGCTTTTCAATTGTTTTGTATATTACTTAATATAAGAATGATTTATTATGACAATAATTTATTATTTATGACTGTTTTATTAGGAGAGTGTAGCCACTTCCAGGTCCTGGTCATAGAATGAGTTACAGACCTCAGCTTTGCACACATACACTTCTGAGCTATTTTCATTGTAGAGGTTCAGAAGTGAAGGCTCCCAGTGAGAGCCAAGTGTGCTCTGAGTCTTGCCAGCACAAGTGCTGGAAACCTGCCTGAGATGCTTTGCTCTGCCCCAGCAGAACGCAGGGCTCTGGTGCGCTGCCTTCGCCCCACTCTTGCACAGTAACACAGCAACTGAATACTGGTACGCTTGTTGGTGTGGACCCGTGGTGCAGGCATGTTGTGAGGAATTTGGCCGACTGTTCTGTAAAACCTTTGACAACAGAGGGTGATTTTATACCTCCCCTGCTACTGTTAGCTGCATTTGCTGCTGTTGTAAATTTGGTCCCAGTGACTCTGAGCTATACTGATTCACAAAATAATGGTCTGGACTTGAGCTTCTGCCCACAGCCTGTGCAAAAAAGTTCAGCTGTACTATTAGTAATTGTATTTACTTCAGGCCTGTAGTTTAATGTTGGTCTTTATAGTTTAATCAGATTTTCAGACAGTATTAAATACATACAAAAGCTTGTGAGTGTTGTGGCTTAAATCGTATTAGGGGTAATTTAAGTGAGTAGTGATCTGATTTAGAGGATTGTAAAATAATTGGGAAAATGATATAAACCAGGGGAGAGGGCAATGTCTGTCAAAATGCTTTGATATATTTCCACTAGCTGACATTCAACAGCAGTTTTTCTAAGCCACGCTTTTTCCAGATCACAATTGGAACCAGAGATGTTTGTGTTGTATAGAAGGAAAAGGATTTTTAACAGATGAGAAACTGCAAACCACTTGTCTTTTTTCCCTTTTGAAGTTATTCTGTTAAGCAGGTGTCTGAGTTTTGGGAATAATTGTTTTTTTCCACCCTTCTAGGTTTACTATAATACAGATGATGAGAGAGAAGGGTAAGACATTTATTGTTTCACAAGCTTTGCATTTAGCAGTTCAAACTCATAGAAAGCAGGCACAAAACATGAAATCAGATAAAACTGATCCCCTTTCTCCCTCTTCCCTCATGTTCTCCCATTGCTAACAGTAGGTGAATCATATGTAGAACTGGTAGAGGGAGGTTTATTTTATGGTAACTTTCTTTTCCTTCATGTGAACTGGCTGCTTTTTATATCTATTCTTTATTACATTTCCAAGTAAAATAGTTTAAAGAGCCATGAGGTTCCGTACAGGGACAGGACAATATATTTGATGATAAAGTGCTTTTTACATATATGTAAGGGTTCTCAAATAATTTAAAAAAACAGGAATTTTTTAATGAAGCACTGAACTTCACTGCAGTCCTGAAAGCTGTTTAGCAGTACACGTGTGTGCATGTGACAAATACTGGAACTGCAGAGAGAGTGTCCAAGTGCTAGAAGGGAAAGGCAGAAAGAGAAGGGGAGATCCTGGGAAGGGGGAAGGTGGAAAATGGGAGCACCCCCTATCTGGCTTTGGAAGGACTGGAAGAATTGCAGAAAGTCCCTAAAATATTTAGAGATGTCATGAAATAAGAGCTTTAATATGTGTGGCTGAAGTTTAGCCAGTATTAACTGTGATGTGTGCAAGCCCCATACTTTTGTAAGTTGCTTGAATCTCAAGTGAGCACTCTCAAATCTGAGAGTTTGGAGTAAGGCAACTGCACTCATGTAAGCCTGCAAAAAGTGGCCTGTGGTAGGGAGTGGCTGGGCACTGGCAGCTAACATTGACTTGAAAACATGAGGCTCTTTTTGTTTCTTTTATGAAGCTAATGTTCTTCATAAGGCTCACGGTGGAATTCAAGAAACAAAGGGGTTTATTGCACCAAGCACATTGGCTTCAGTTCTCTCCTCCAAGACTAAAAGGAGACACCAAGTCCTGCCAGAGCTACGCTGAGGGGAGGGGGCAGCCGTAGTGCCTGCAGCCCTCAGCTTCCCCAGTGGAGTGTGCTGCAGCTTTGGCTGGATCTGGCCCAGCATATCACTCCTTTTGAACTTGCTGGCGTGTATGGTCTCAGATTTTAGAGATACTGGTGGTGTTTCCTGAGGCTGTCTCCTTGACCCCAAAGACGAGGAATCAATGTGTAAATGTGGGTTCAGCTCCTTACTTAGCTGTTTCTTCTTCCCCACCCCACTTCCCTCATTATTTAAACAGTTAAGGGCCTTTGGGGTTTTCAAAATGGTACGTAACATTGGAGCATGGTTTCCTGTCACCTGTCTCAGCCAGTCAGTCTGGGCAGTTTGAAAGGCCTGGAGAGTTCAGATAAGCATCAAAAGCTAAATCCTTGCAGTTTCTGGTCTGGTGCTACTTGAGTAGCTAGTGGGGTTTTTGCCAGAGTACAAAGTGAGTCATGACTGCTGCTGTTGTCTCCTCTCCTGCTGGGAGTACAGTTTTACTGTGACATGGTCCCTGTTGTGTGTTTTCTAGTAGCAGTGTCCTGGTCAAAAGGATGTTCCGGCCTGTGGAGGAGGAGTTTGGTCCATCCCCTTTGAAACAAATGAAAGAAGAAGGCCTGAAAAGAGGTAACAGCCAATTCTTAGCAGTTAAAAATAATGCTGCGGGACTCATGCCCTCAAGTTGGGAAGGGCAGGTGTGGCTTGGACCAAGTTTTTTGTTTGATGCTGGTGCAAATGTGGGGTAGATGAGAGAAGAGATCATTACACCTGCCAGTATACAAGTAGGCATTTTAACAAATAGTAGTAGTGACTTAAAAGCAGAAAAGAAAAAAAAAAAAAAGGACTGTGCTATCTCAAGAAGGGATCAGGACACAAGTGTATATAAAATATAAAAAAGCTAGAAAGTTTCTTGGTCTTTGGCCAAGCTACATAGTTCATAAATGTTCCAGTAGCAAATCTGTGATTGCCTATTTTTAACTTTTGCTCATCTTTTCTGTTCTGGCTGGGATCACAAGCAAATATGCAAGATGCACTGGGTCAGATACACAGACCTTACACAGGCAAGCTCCTGCTGACTGCAGACTTAGGTTAGCCTGAATAAAATCTCAGAAATTTCCTACCCAGTTAGAAATATAAGGCATGGAGAGACATCTTCCAGCAGACCCGAGTTGTTTAAAAGTTTGTTTCCTCTAACTGTTTTTACTGCTTTGAGTGAATATTACTACAGTCGTGTTTCATATGCTATACCAGTCCAAATCCTGTTTTCCAGTCTGCTACAGTGAAGCTTGAGTGACATTGAAGCAATGGTTTAGGTAGAGCTGTTAAGCTTTGCACTGAAGGTAAGGATGAGCAGATGGTGTTTTTGTCCACAAAATCTGCTTTGTGTACAGTCAATTCCAGTGCAGTTCTATAGGTGATAGCTTTCTATGCTGCCACAGTTAGACACCCTGGAGAATATTTGCCATTCCTTCAGACTCAAGAGTTCTGTCATCGTAAGTTTATTGGAGGCTCCAGGGGTTTGACCAACCTATATAACTCAAACTCGCAAATGTTTTGAGGCTCACCCATCAGTTTGTGAGACAGCAAAGCGATAAGGTACAGAAGTGAGCTCGATTTTTCTTAGTGGCACCATTTGTAAAACTCATTTGAGCTTTATAGGAACAACCTCCCATGAGCCTGCATTTGCAGAGTTTCTCTGTTGGTTAGGGTGGTATGCTTGAACCAGGTGAAGCATATAAGATTACAGGATGGAGACTGACATCTTGCTGGAATAAATGTGAACATATTCTTCTTTTAATTAAATCTTCTATTAATTATGTGATGTCAGCACTGACCACAGACTTGCATCTGGTTGACTCAAGGCCTTGACCAAATTCACGTTATCAGGGCTCCATCAAGCAGAAGGAGACAGCCACAAGGGCTACATAAAGAACTGCAATTTCCTGCAATTTCACCTGGGTTTCCCAGCTGGAAGCCTGCAGAGTTGCCTGCAAGGTGATATTGGTTTGCTTTGATTATTCCTGTCCTTTGCTGTGGTAAGTTGTTTTAATATTGTCCAGGACTTGCAGCCATTTCAAGGGGAAGATTTGAAAGAAAAAAAAAAAAAGTTTTTCAACTGGTGGCAAAACTATGTTAAATAATTAAATCCAGGAGAGGCATGGAACCAGAGAAGCTGGAGGATGCTCTCTTCACATCCCCTTCCTGTTCAGTGTTTCTTGCAGCTTGGACTATGCTGGCTGGAGGCCAAGCCTCTTCCAGCGTGGCCTTTGCTCTGGTGAACTTCCTGCCATCAGGAACCCTGCATCTGGGATTGTGCTGATGGAGCGCAGCTCAGCTGAATCTGCCCAATTGACAATACTGTCTTTGCCACAGGAGTCACGGAGTATTAAAACGTTCTGCTGTTTTTCCCAGGCTTAGCCATACTAGAAGCTTTTTTTCTCCCAGATTTATTTGGTACAGCAGAATCAATAACTCCTAGAGTGCAGGTATAGATGGGGCACTGGTGTAATGTTTGAGAGAGAGCAGGTCTGATGTGTGAAAATATGCATTGAAAGCAATGTAATCCCAAGGTGGCTCATTATCAGAGCAGTGCAGATAAGTAGCACTGAGTGAGGGGTCCAAGCTCAGCTGAAGAACTGAAGTGATAGTGTGTGGCCTCACCTCTGCCTGATGGACCTAACTGTATTAGTGTCCAGTGGAAGCAAAAGTATTAAGGGGCAGCTTTCCAGAGAACAGGTCTGAAGGGGTTTCAAACCGTTGGTAAAACAAGGTTCATATTCTCACACAGGTAGCTGCATCTTTGTGAATTATTCTTTCATCTCCTTGACCTCTAAGGAAGGTACAAGTGCCCAACACAGAAGTGTAAAGTATGTTAATCTGTACCAAGTGTGCAGCGCAGCTAGTTACTTGGCTAGACTTGCGGCCTTTTCCTGTTTTGAGTTCTCAGTAAGAGTTTTCAAATCACTTTCCCTTTCAGATTTCATAGGGAGTTTCCCATTAATTATAAATCCAGCACCTGTTGTTACAGATCAGGGAGATTTCCAGTCTTGTAGTTCTCAGCTTGAAGAAAATCAAATTTTTGTCTAGCTTTTGTCTCTCAGGAAAGTAGTGTTAAACTACTCTGAAACATTTTGGATTCATAACAGTCAGGGTTTTGTGAACCAGCCCTGTGGAGGACAGCATTCGCTCTGTCACCTAGGGAATTTGTGCCTGGGCAATTAGTGAAAACTCCAAATGTGGCAAAGCCAGGTCACAGCTACCAGCCCTACTTTCTTTTCCTTGACTAAAATGTGCCACATCTCTATCCAGAAACCACTTTACAAAGACTGTAGTCATTGCTCATCGGGTGTCGGTTGGAGCATCAGTAATGCCTGGGCTCAGACCTTCATAGTGGCCTGAGTCTTACTGTCTCATCACGTCCTTAGTTTGATTTTTGCCACATGTCCGTTGCTTGTCTTCTGCCTTGGCAGATTTGCCAATGGAGAGCCCAGCTGTTACCACTTTTAAGAGAGGTATCTAACATTGTTCTTCTGCATTCATGCTTAAATCCTCAGTTCAGTGGCCTGGCTTTCAAAAATCTCCAAGGTGCAACAACCTCCCTTGCCTTCAGCAAAGTCTGGTTGCCACTCCACAATTTTGTGAATCAGGGCTATTTCTTAACTAAAGATAAATTTATCACCCCCATCTTTTGCAATTCTTTTTAACATCTAAAGACCATTAGGGACTACTGTGGCTTTCAGTGCTGGTAAGGAGGTTAAGAACTGAGGCCGGGTAGTGTAGAGGTCAGACAAATTTGAATTTATCTTTTAACTTTCAGTCAAAAATAGCTCATTGCCTGGTACAAGATTTTCCGCCCCCCCAAATATTGCAGTCTTTACTATTAAAGTGAGCCCATCCAGATGCTATGAACGTTGTGACAGTAGGATCAGAGGGCATAAGTACGAGTTGTGTCACGTCGTCACAGTCATGGCTTGGCATTCAGTGGCAAAGCTGCTGAGCCCAATGGAGCCTTTGCAGCCCCTTTCCCTCCCTGGCTGTGCCTCCTGCTGCAGGCCAGCCAGCCTTCTCTCTGCGGTTATGCCAGCAGGAAGGCTTGTGGGGCTGCATTGTATGCTGAAGCAGGGACCTGATTTGTCTGAAGAACAACGCAGAAAAAAGGGTTGTTTTTTCACTCACATCTGCTGTTTGAGAGAGTTCATCGTCCAGGAAAATTCACTGAGACAGGCCAGAGTAAGAGAGCATAAGGGCAGGGATGAGACAGGGGCTTCTTAAGGCATCACTGTCACCAGAAGTCATTTATGGAAAAGTGCTCTAGTGAATCAAAGCCAGGATTTTCACACCTGTCAGGGGAAAGAAAAAACCAACAACCCTCCATATGTTTACTAATCCTGGCTCTCTGTGTGTATAATAGCGATTCAAATTCCCAGTTATCCTTGTAATGGATCCTTCATTCAGCACAACGTTGCCTGACATGTCAAGCACAACAGAGAGATTTAAAGCCTAGCACTTGGATTGTATAATGTCCCCAACTTTAACTTTTGGATGGAGTGGTTTTTCCTCCTTTCAGATACGTTTGTAATTATTAAGGCTGGCAGAGGTCCAGATGTTTGAAAAGCCAGGAGCTACAGGACAGCCCTCTAGTCACAAGAAAAGAATTACTGAATTAATAAAAGCATTAGTACAGGTAAAATTAGCACTTTGAGTGAGTGCTTGCTCATACAAGTAAACATATCAAACCCAGTAAAACTTAACTACTGATGTGGTTTGTTTGGTTTTTTTTCTCTTATATTCTGATGGTTATTTAGGTTGTGACCCAAAGTTATCTCAGCTTCTAAGTCCTTTAAAAGGACACTCTCAGGCAGGTCCCAAAGAATTACCAAAACGTAGGTGAAAAGGATGTGGCTCTGCGTGCTTGTGGTCGCAGTTTTGTGGCTCATACTTCTAAATTAAAGATGCAAAAACCCACCATTGTCCTGCACATCTGGTTTGTAGACTGTCCTGGTTTCGGCTGGGATAGAGTTAATTGTCTTCCTAGTAGCTGGTACAGTGCTATGTTTTGAGTTCAGTATGAGAAGAATGTTGATAACACTGATGTTTTCAGTTGTTGCTAAGTAGTGTTTAGACTAAAGTCAAGGATTTTTCAGCTTCTGATGCCCAGCCAGTGAGAAGCTGGAGGGGCACAAGAAGTTGGGAGAGGACACAGCCAGGGCAGCTGACCCAAACTGGCCAAAGAGGTATTCCGTACCAAGTGATGTCACATCTAGTATAGAAACAGGGGGGAGTGGGGGCAGGGGGAATTGCTGGTCGGGGACTAACTGGGTGTCAGTCAGCAGGTGGTGAGCAATTGCACTGTGCATCATTTGTACATTCCAATTCTTTTATTATTACTGTTGTCATTTTATTAGTGTTATCATTATCATTATTAGTTTCTTCTTTTCTGTTCTATTAAACTGTTCTTATCTCAACCCACGAGTTTTACTTCTTTTCCCAATTTTCTCCCCCATCCCACTGGGGGGGGGGGGGGGGGGGGGGGGGCGCGGGCTGGGGCGTTTGGTTGGGGGGGGGGGTAAAC